TCATCACCCATATCAAGCAGACCATACAAATATACGCCGGTACAATTTGATGGTAGACTGCTCTTCTTTCTGGTACAAACGTTCGTGAAGGTGAACAACAATGGAGAGATCATGTATCTCCGTGCAACAAGCGCTCTCAGGCGGCTTCCAGATACTCCACCCTCTAAGCTGCTACGTGGTCCACTTGCCGGACACGCCTCGTAGGAAAACATCTGAACACGATTTTGGATTTTGGAAGAACTGGCCTGAGAAACATGAATGCATCTTTTTTTTTATTCACAATTCTCTCAAAGCGTAGTACTATTGAAACTCACATGATTGAGTGCAGCATTTGTTTCCCTTCTTCTCTGATCGTACAAAACAAACATAGATCTTCAGCGCTCACTAGGTAGAGTGATTCCAAGTACATGTACTGCTGTGGGTCACAAGCCACACGAGTTCCTGACAGAAGAACGCTTTCGGTCTGGAGGATTGGCCAACGAACGTCTTCATCTCATGAGTACCGAAAATGCGACCAAGTCAAATTTGCACTAGAGCACATGCAGAAAGCCTTCGCCGCTCAAGCCCAGAAGGTGCCATAGCTACACTTGAGCAACCAGCCCTAGTCCCGATTACCTCGTTACACAAGACTGGAGTGTGTTCCGTCCAGGATCTGTCTCCTCGGACCAACGTTTCCACGGCTCTGACTTCGTCCGAGTCTTCAAAACCAGGGATGGAACCCTGCATTCTCACGCTTCGCTAGAATTCAAACCTCCCCGGCCCAGACAGTTATGTTTTGTGTCAAAGGCTTACTTTCGTTGGGCTATGCATGCAAGAAATTCTACCTCAGCTCTACCATCGTCGTGAAGGACATACTTCCCAATCAATGTGCGGCCGGGTATAATGGCGTAGAGGGGACGAGGGAAGCGGCTTGCCTTTCCCTGTATGCTTGGGAGGGATCAGCGACGCTCGAAATCGAAGCTCGTCTGCGGTAGCTGCATCAAAGTCTGAGCTATCTCCTTCCTTTCTATCGCTGCCGTCCGCGACGGACCCTCAGAGCGTCAATGTCGTGGTCACGAAGGAAGATTGTGGATCTGCCCCAACAAGGTGTAGGACAACTCGCCGGTTCAGGCTTTACCGTGAGTGACAGACCCTGACCGATTCCTGACCCTGGCTACTTCTGGTCTTGGAAGCAACGGTCACGTGTCGTCCACTTCTCGCTGTCAACGTCGGATCAAGCATTTCCAGATTCGTTGTCGCTAATGCCTTGAGACCCCTCAATCTTGACGTTGGCCCACACATCAAGCTCAACGACCCCGTTGTGCTCCATCGTTTTCCCGAGGATTCCCAGTTGTCTCAAGCTATCTGCAACTGCAAAGGATGCAGGTCGCCAATCCAGACAAGTGAGTGCGTTGTTTGCAATGCCAGGTCCAGATACGAGCTTGCACAGCCGTTGAATGAATGGAAAGAAAGTTCTCAAAGTAGTAGTCCGGCGATATCTGGATGATTCCCCGGACATCAACGGCCCCAATTGGCCCTTTCATTTATCATTACCACGCGAGTTTGCGGACTCGGAACGTGCGCGGCACAATTGTCCTACGGATCCTTCGATCCAAGAGACGCGGTTCAGTGTCCAATCGAGACCATGGAGGACAGCTGATGGAACAGGCTGGGCTTATCGACGGATCATTTTTTGGGCATAGCGTACACGTCAATTCTGTGTAGAGTAGATAGAGCAGTCCCAGTCCCAGTCCAGTCCAGATTAAAATATCACACCTGTCTTATTCCCCCGACGGTGCTGACGATCCGTCTCATCCCATGAACCGACCAGCCACCCATCACCACATATCGCGACCACGTTTCGCCCCCACAGGAGCAGTTATCAGCACGGTAGCAGTCAAGAACTCCCCTGTTACATTGTAGAACTTCACGGAGGCGACATGCGAGGCGTGAAAGTGGAAGAGGAAGAGAGATGATCGTCAGTGCCGTTTCCGATGCGAAACCTTTCTTCTGTACATCGTGACGGCTGTGGGTTTTCAAGGTGGCACTATGGAGGGAGGTGTGTGGTTATGATCGAGTCTTTCAAGCGACTCCTGTGACACTCTTTCCACTGTCGACGCAAGGGGATAGAAATAAAGGCAGGAGTATTCATTTTCCGATGGATCTGCGTGTTGCGAAACAACACTGTAGGAGGCTTCTACTTGCATGAGGAAGAAGCGTTGTAGCTGCAGGTCGTATGTAACATGATAATGTACATATCCACATAGTGCCCACAAATATATACACCCACCGTGTTCCACTCGTTCAGATGCTAGCAAGTCCAAATCTCAATCCCAATGCTACTCACATTACCATGCAGCCGATACCATACATTGCTCTCTCCACTTTGCTCTTGATCTGATACCAGTCCGCTCGCCTTTCCGCGAACTGATAAACTTCCTCTGCGCGAAAAATCCCATGGAAACGGTCCCCGTCTGCAATGATGGTCGCAAGCTCCTTCGCATCAGCGGGATCGACTAGATATATCTGGGAGAGCTCGCGAAGCGCCTTGAAAAATTGAAGTAGGTCCTCATTCTTGAGTGTTTGTATGTACGTGAAGTAGAGGTTCATGTCACTGGGAAATGGTCAGCACCAAAACCTGATCGGTAAAAGAGTTCAAGCACCTTATCAATTTGAGTGAGCCGTTAACGCTGATACGCTGTCTCTTTAGATGTTTGCACAATGCTGCAAAGAGCCTCATTCCAACTTCCTGGTTGAAAACATCAAGCATATTCTTGTCCGTGCTGCCGACCAGCATCCTCGTGTGGGACGAAACAGTTTCGATGACTTGTATTGCTGCCTGACTCGGACCAATATCCATAACGTCAGGATCGCCTCCGCTTGCAGCACCTGGGTTGAAATCCTGAGGTTTCTGGCTAGTAGCGTTCAAGTATTCTACTTCTGCCATCAATACCTCGATACCCTTGTTGAGCCCAGCGGCCACACGTTCGTCAAGTATTTGCTCGAAGCGTTTCTTCTCCTTGACAGCAGGGTTGAGGAAGTCATTGCGGTCAGAGAGCTTGGTTGTGATAAGTTCCTGTTCGTAGAAAACGTCCAACATCTGTTGAATCAGATCTCCCACATTAACAAGCTCCAGAAAAGTGACCAGTGGCGTGACGCCGGACCCCTGTTGCTCGTCGACCTCTTTAGGTTTATATTTTGATAGATGATCCACTGCCTGGTCGAACCCAGCTTTGATGTGGCGCGTGCCCAAGGTCTGCAGTAGCGAGATAAACACGAGCTCACACTGTAGACGGGCATCGCTAGCGATATGCCCACCAACTTTGACAAAGACAGCGGCTCGTTCGATGCTTGACTTCGCAGTATGAACAAGGTTCAAAGCTACTTCAATACTGAAAAGAGAGCGAATCCCTTCCAGCCTGGAGTTCATGATTGCGGCTTTGGCAGCCAATTCCGTTGTAGGTGGCTCTGGCAATTCCGTTGTAGGTCTGTTGACGCTCAAAGTAGTGCCATTGATGACGCCTGGACTTGACGGTCTTGTAGAAGTCTGAGATCCGGAGACTTCTGTGGTTGCCAGGGCTTCTCCATTCACCAGGGCTTTTGCAGTGGCCGGCTTGCCACCGAATGGTGATGACATTGGGAAGGTGGGCAGCACATTAACAGGCATCATGACGACCTTCTTGAAAGAGGTCAAAAAATCCCTTTTGTCAGCTTGGCGATTGACATTGGACATAAACATTGATTGCATAGATGCATCTTGTTCAGAAAGCTGTTTTTCCCAGTTGTTGACTTCCGCAGAGGACTTCTTCTTGAAAAATTCCAATTCTTCTTTCAGGTAGAGATCGATGTGAGGTTCGAAGATAGTAGCAATGACCTCGTCCAGGGTCTCGTAGAAATCGTCTCCAGAGGCAGATGTTGGCCGCAAAGACCTGGTCATCTCCAGAAACTGGTCGCAAGTAGCGGATACGGCTCTCAAATAAGACTCAATATTCGTGCGGTGTGCTTCATCATACAGGGTGGTCAGATAATCGGAGATAACCGCTTTACCAACTCGTTGCACAAAGGGTACAATGGCATTGACAGAAGTGGGAAAGATCTGGTCGATGATGCCGACCTGCTCATTGAAAGCCGTTGATACGTTACTGAAGAAATTGTACGACTCCTCCGTCGAGAAGCTGCCAGGGCCTTTTCGGTTCAGGCAATCCAGGGCATTCCCTAACCTGTACCTTGAGCCAATGATTGAGCTTTTTGAGATAAAGAGCTCTACCCCCGAATGGCCACCATTAAGATAGGCCAGCACATGTGCATACTTTCTCATCTTCCCAGCGACATCTCCAGCGTCCAAAGCTTGCTCAAACTCCTTGGAGACTGCCATCTCGAAGGCTCCGACCAAAGCATCGAATTTCTCCTTCCTTTTCTGCCATCCTTCAGACATGTCACTGTTAGAGAATTTGCTGATGTTGAAGAGCATCCGGGCTTGCTGAGTTGGGTCTCGGTAGGTGCGGAAGACTGTAGCATGCGTGTGATTCTCGCAGCGTATGGCGTCTAGATAGAAAGGGGCCAGAGCTCCATAGACTTTGCCGTATTCTTGCCGTGCGAAACCCCGGAGTGAATAGACATGAGCAAAGATATCTATCCGTGACGCAGTATCTTGCGATTTGTAGGCTGCGGGCCTTCCTCGAGGAGAGGTTTCAATCGCATCGAATCCGTCTTCAATGGGTGGCGCTACTTTCAATGGGCCACCATTCGTCTTCCCTTCGTGTTCTGCAGCTTCTATCGCAGCGTCGAAAAGGGTAACACTGGGTCGCTCTGGGTTATCGGATCCGTTCGTTCCATTTGCTGTACCATTGACCCCAATTCCAGCACGTTTGGCTTCCTCTTCGTGTATGCTCTGCAGCGTCTCAGATCTCTTACGTCTTGCGGCCTCTGCGCTCTTTCTGGCTTCATTCTCGTCCCAGCATCCCATTAGCTGTAGTCTTTGCACCCATCTCGTGTCATCGTAGACCATCTCCCGCATCCGTTTCGACACGCGAGCAAATCGCAGTTGGCCTGGGACTGGTAGGTAATCGAGAATGGTGGACAGGATCTCTAGCAACAGTCAAAAAACAATTTCAAGCATAACGATTAGCTACAATACCTGCTGGAAATACTGGCTTTGAGCTGACAATCTGAGCCTCCCGCAAAGGAGCCAATATTGACTGCCTTGAGATGCCACCCTTCACGTTGACCCTCTTGAAGGCGGACATGATCTCTGAGTTCTAAGAACATTGGAATGTATCAGATGAAGGACTTTTGAGGTGTTTTTGTGTGGCCGCGGAAAGAGTTTGAAGTTCTACGAAGGACAATGAGTAGCGGGAAACTGCGGAGCGAGGGAACTACTCAAGAACCTCATGGAGAAAGAGCGATTCAAAATCTTGCTTTGTTTGCAGATATTTATACGAATGACAGGAAGTAGAATGACTTGGATATGTACATTAATTGAAATATCAGCAAGCATAGCTGCTCAACTTTCATAAGCACGCGAAAGTCTGCTGCTGAGACGTCTTAGCTTTATACGAGTAGGTAATTATAGTAACGTTAAGGCAGCTCTCCTCAATTCACGATGCCCAGAACGCCAGGCCCATGCCACAATGCAAAAATCCCCTGTAAAGAGACCACCCAACACCTCCCATGTGACGTCCTCGTAACACATATGCTCAAAAACCCCCAAACCCCGATCGAACAGCCATTAGAACCTTCTTCCTCTACCGTGCTCTTCTGGCGGCGGGGTTCCCGGAGGATGATTCTCGAAAAGGTCTTCCAGGTATGCGCTTGGTGCACGGCCCTGGGGTGCTGCGGATAAATTGAGGCTGCTGTTGCTGGCATGTATCGTCAACCCTGCACTACTGAGTCTTGCAAGCGTCGAGTCTGCGCCTCTGCTTGGTGGCGAACTGGGGGACCCGGGTGGACTTGGCCCAGTCGACCTTGCTCTTGAGTATCGATGATTCTGAGGTGCAAGATTTGAAAGCCCGATTCCTCCACCCCCAACCTGCGTCATTCCAGATCCACCACCAGGCGCAGAATTGGCAGCAGCATAATACCCAGCAGGAAGATAACTAGACCCTCGGTTACCTGGGGTCTGCATGCCAGTACCTGCCGTAGGCGAGAAGAAAAGGCTTCCGTGAGCTGAAGAAGGTGTCTTTCCCCCTCCTTTCCCGCTTGCCGCTAGATGGTCGAGACTCAACGTAGACCCAGGTCCTGGACTAAAGTACGGGCCAGTTGACTTGCCATTGTTTGCTCTTGGATCTCCCACACGCGAGTATTTGGACGATTGTGCGATCGCAGCCCTTTGAACGGATCGGTGTAATGACCAGGCAACAAGGCCACGCCAAGCAAGGACAAGTACGCCAATGAAGCCGAGAGCAGCACCGACGCATATGAATACGGTTCCATCCGGGAGAGACGACTTTTGCATGAAAGGCGCGTCAGCAGTTGGTGGTACTGTGGGAGCCGGGTAGTTGTCCTGGGCTAGCTTCGGCAGACCCGTTAGAGCCGCTGCGTCGGTTGAGGACGCACTGGCCGAAGAGCTAGTAGAAGATACGGTAGAGGTTGTGGAAGATGATGCCGTAGTGGACGATGTGTCTGTCGTGGAGGAAGCGCCCGGCAGTTTGACGCCTAAGTCCTGCGCTGCCACATGGTTGACGAGAAAGACAGAGACAAAGAGGACTGATATGAAGCATGGCTGAGGCTTCCGGTGAAGCCGCATCGTTGACTCTGCCTTTCGCACAGCTGTATTTATCCAAGTCGGGCCCTTCTTTTGCTTGATATCCTATGCTTGTGCTGAATTTGCCAAATCATATAATAGCGACGGTTGCAAATTATATGATGGTCGACGAGTGAGGGCTGCGAGAAATTATTCGGGTGGTGAACGTGGAGTAGGGAGGATGAGAAGGCCGATCGAGTTGGAAGGCGGCCCCTGTTTCAATTAGGTAAGTCTTTGTCCACGTAGTGTAATGAATGCACGAATGTTGCAATATGGCTGATACTCGTTGAGAAGCGAGTGTCGAGTTGTCGAATGGCGTACAATGAGTGTGTCCTGTATGTTGACTTAGAGAATGATTTGCATGCTTGATGCAGATGCTGGGACATGCATGTCGGAAAAAGAGCATGGGCCATAGCTGTGTTGATTCCCGGCATCTTTTTCACGCTAGCCAGCTGCAGGGCAAGTCGGGGGGCAACGGTCCGAACGAAAGCTAAAAATAGCCAATATCGAAATCTTCCAATTGTGATTCTCGTTTCTCGCTGGCCAGAGTCGCATTCTGATATTAAGAAGAACATCAAAGTAGTATCACAACCAAGTAATGGGGGTAACTAAAAAAACACGCAAGTTCGCCCAGGTAAGTGATAGTTGGTGTATTAGAGGGATCCCAACTCAAACCTTCCTCCAGGTCAAAAGAATCATCGGCCAGAGAGATGCTCGTTTAAAGAAAAATCAAGACAAGGCCGTGATCGAAAGCAAGCGCAAATCCAAGGATGAGCTTGTTCGAGAGATGTCGGCCTCCAATTATTCCCTGCAGTCGTACCTCTCTAACGCCTCCCAGACCTCAAGTTTCCTCGTCTCTTTTCTTCCAATACAACACAGGTACGTATCCTGTTTTTGTACCTCTCCCCCCGGCATCGGTGTCTCGAGAGCCAAGCACATGTGCCTTGTACTACCCGACTCGAATCAGACGGAAATGCTGACCCCGAACGTCTACGCAGCTCTCGTCCCACCATATTCCGTATGCGATCTCATTTTCCATCTTATCCTCAACTATGTCCCATCATTCAACTTCTTACTTTGATTATTTCTAGGTCCTTATTGATACAAACTTCTTATCTTTGACCGTTCAGCACAAACTCGAGATTTTGCCGACGATGTAGGGAGGCATCTAGATTCCTTTGTCCTGGGGCCACAAACATCTGACGGTTTTTACGTGGATCAGGATGGACTGTCTCTACGCCAAATGCATACCGATCATCACTGGGTGCGTCATGTAGGTTTTCCACGTTTTGAGAGTCTTTGATAATGCTCACTCTGTGTGCAGGGCAGAACTAGAAAAGCTAGGGCAAAAGTATCGTATAGCGCTGCGAATTGCAAGAGATGAGCGGTGGGAGAGATTAAAATGTGATCATAAGGGTATATATGCCGATGATTGCTTGGTGGAAAGGGTTCAGAAACACAAAAGTAAGCTGTATCTCAGAGTGTTCAGTCCTGAAGGATTTTCGAACATCAGTTGCGTGAGGCATGTTTTGCCAGCACTTGACTTTTATATCCTTGATGCAATGATATCTTTGATGCAACGCTAACCTTCGAATTCAAGTCTATATTGTAGCCACAAATGATAGGGATCTAAAAAGAAGGATACGGAAGATACCAGGTGTACGTGTTACTAGGAGCCTTCTTTCCATTTTACGGTGCATTGTCAGATATACTGACAGCCATAGGTGCCAATTATGTCTGTCGCCAGGGGAAAATACGTGATAGAGCGATTACCCGATGCGCCGGAAAAGTAGAGCAATATGTGCCACCTCGGATATCGAGGGCAAAGACCCTTGCTTCGGCTTGAGTGCTGATGGAAGCATGCATTAATGCTTTCAAGCATAGCTTCATGCCAGCTGACCTCCGTTGCTTGGTATTCCAAAGACCTGTGCTTCCGCCCTCAAGTCTCCATTCTAGGATGCCACCACTGTTTCTAGAGCCAGCAACTGGTACAGGCATGAGATAATCGACTCCCGAGCATTCTAGACAATAACAAATTGCCTTGGAACCAAAGACCGAGATGACGGTCAATAAGGGTGGATCCGGGTAATGAGCTTGAGCAGACAAATAGCTTGCTTAAGCGAGCGTAGGAATGGGGCTTTCAGTACCATATCATGCACTCATTATCTCCATATTTGGGTCGAGAAACGCGTTGGGGGAGGCTTAATATCATGAATTAGACATGCTCAGTCGACCTTTTAGAAGCTAGTGTGTAAATCAATATATTCAAAATTCTCTCAATGATGAACTCTGATTCGCTAGTGACTGTCTGAATTTAGGGCTAGGTCTTTGTTCATGGGTTATCTTCGGTAAATCATGGGTTTCGCTGAGGATCTCAGCGTCTCCATTTCAAGGGACCTCAGACATTGTGAACATAGGTACTTCCCAGGAAACATAAAGATGGAGACTGAGATCCAATCCCCAGACAATGCACACAAACGATCGCGGGCCGATTTCGAAGACGGGAATGCAATTCCGGCCAAGCCCAACAGCGACTCAGTACAAAACGATGGTACATATATCCATAGAAGCTCTTCCTCTACTCACCTGGCTGATTTTTACATAGATAGCTCCTCTGAGGACGACTTTGGTCCGGCACTGCCTTCAACCGCACCAAAAAAGAAGCGTCGAAATCTTCCTTACGAAAAGCTATATATCTCCGCCCTCCCTACCTCTCCGCGCTACTCCAAATCTCTGATGCACAAAGACCAGCTTTCTTTCGTCACGGTTACTCCATTTACAGACTTCTTAATTACCAGCTCGGTAGACGGAGTCGTTAAATTCTGGAAGAAGGTTGCTGTAGGAATAGAGTCGGTGAAGGAGTTCAGGGCGCATGTTGGAGAAATCAAGAGTGTCAGTGTCAGCCAGGATGGACGCAGCTTTGCTACCGCTGGAGCGGACAAGACGATCAAAATCTTCGATGTCATTACGTTTGGTATAGTCCTTGGAACCAGTGCGAAGATTGCACGCTAACACACCGCTTAGATCTGCTAGCGATTCTCCAGCTGGACTTCACACCTAGATCAATATGTTGGGTCCATAGGCGCGGCGCCTCGCTACCCTTACTTGCTGTCTCACATGAGGCCGACCATATAATCAATATATATGATGGCAGGGGTGAATCGCAGACTTCAATACACCGAATTACCAGTTTGCACAAAAGCTCAGTGAGAACAATTGCGTACAACAATGGCTATGACTGTGCTATCTCTGCTGATGATAATGGTATGATTGAATATTGGAGCCCCGGTGGAAACTACGAGAAACCGGACAATCTTTTCAAGTATAAAAGCTCAACGGACTTGTTCGAGTTCAAGAAAGCGAAAAGTTTGCCAACTTCCATCACCATCTCACCTTCTGGTACACAGTTTGCAACATTTTCTTTTCCTGATCGAAAGGTCAGAGTCTTTGACTTTGCTACTGGCAAGCTCTACCGCACGTATGACGAGTCACTATCAACTGTCACCGACATGCAACAAGCCGGTACGGCGTTGCAGAAGCTCGAAGATGTGGAGTTTGGCAGGCGACTAGCTGTTGAACGGGAACTGGAAAATCCAGCATTTCAAAATAAGATCAACATAATATTCGACGAGTCAGGTAATTTCATCATCTATGGCTCTCTCCTGGGATCGAAGGTCATCAATACCCTGACCAATCGCGTCGTCAAAGTCTACGGCAAGGATGAATCGTTCCGCCCATTGAATCTGGCTATTTACCAGGGTCAACCTCAAAAGAAAGGTGTTGTCACGGTCTCCATGGCTGCCAGCGCCAATCCTCTCCTCCAAGAAGCCGAAGAGCGAGATCCGATGCTCGTTTCCACTGGCTCAGGAAAAGTCCGCTTCTATATTTTCACCAACGAGACCGATATCAGCAAGTCTTCTCGCGACGTTCAAAATGAAAAGCCCAGGAATCTCAATTCTCGCCAACAAGTCGAAGCCAAGCCTGCGGAGAGTGGTACCGCAGCCATTCTACATACAACATATGGCGACATCCACATCCGTCTTTTTCCCGAAGCTGCCCCCAAAGCTGTGGAGAACTTCGTCACTCATAGCAAGAACGGCTACTACAACAATACAATATTCCACCGCGTGATCCGGAAATTCATGATCCAGTGTGGCGATCCGCTAGGTGATGGGACTGGTGGTGAAAGCATCTGGGGCACGGAATTTGCGGATGAATTTTCTGCGCTCAAACACGACAAAGCTTACACGGTTAGCATGGCAAATGCAGGGCCAAATACGAATGGCAGCCAATTTTTCATCACGACAGAAAGGACACCTTGGTTGGACAGGAAGCACACAATCTTTGGGAGAGCGGTGCAAGGGCTCGATGTGGTGCATCGGATCGAGAATGCCAGAGTCTACAAGGAGAAACCGGAGGAAGATATCAAGATCGTCAGCATTGATGTTGCTTAAAGCGGGACATTGATACCGAGGAGTTGAGATGTTCATCTCTGAGGCCTAGCTAGCCTCACAACGCTAGAGTGGGCTTTTGCCCATCTGCCCTAGATTGCCAGGGGCATTTCTCCATTTCTGTTTGGTTACGATGATTCAAAGGCAAGGGCTCTTTTTCCAGAAACAAAAGGTTTGAGGTCAATTTTCGGTTTTCAAGGGAGCTGGTCGTCATAGCTTTACGGCGAGTATATTGTTGTTGGCAGTCTGGACTCAGGGGTCATATGAGTTCTCGGCTGAAGCGTGCATGCCCGGCATCTCTGGCGAATCATGCCAATGCTTGTTCCAATTGGGGAATACAGAGTGGAACAGCTCTCGTGGAATTCTTTGATGCTCCCTTTGTTTTTTTCTGCACTTGAAGGCGTACCTCCACTTGATCAGGCTTCAAGGACCGACCGTACGCATCAATCCGCAGTCTGATGCATTTCGTTGCAGGCTCCTGACGCGGTTTTTCGCCGAATAACCTCGCATACTGCAAGTTCTAATTCACTATTGCAGCCGTCTTCACACCGAACAAATTCCGCTTTGAGCTGTCCGAGAGAGATCTCAGCGACGTTGAGATGCCCACGACTTCAGTCTATCCCATAAAATGGAGTCACAGGGTATCAGGGTTTTCGTCAGGTGAGAAGTAGGAGGCGAGCCTTGCAATCGGACCGCAAGTCAAGGTCTGGACTCTGGAGCGCCTACTAAATCGTAGTGGCTTCATATCGGTCTATATCTGAAGGCCCATGCGACGATTTGGCCCAAGCTGGCGGTAGCCGTTCGCTGATAAGCAGCCTCACACGCGACTGCCGCTTTCAGTTACTGATTCTTAGGGTGGCTGCGGAAAGACAGTTGTTATGAAGCATCATAGCATGTCTACGCTGTACTTCGAAGCAGAGACTTTGGCATTGTTAAACTTCATAAAATCATGCTGTATGTCACTACGAACAAAGCTGTCTCTCGAATTTGCCGGCAAGGAAGGCGCCTACCTATCTTGGGGATCGAGCGCCTTTCTTCCAAGACCATCTTCCGCCTCTCGCGAGATGCGTCATGGTCTGATATTGTACGCTTTGTACCTGCAGAAAGACCCTGAGGCTAAGACCCATGAGACTTGTTTGATAACCGCACTGCCCGTGCGTTTTACTAATGCACCCCATTTCCACTTTTTTTCAGGTGCAGTCTTTGATGAGCACCCATCTGTCCCAACTTAGTCATGAAGTTCCTTCGTCTCTCTGTGCTACTGACCACTGCGAGAGTTGTCTTATCAGCTTTGGCAGCATCCAATGCCCAGCCAAATCTCTCGACCCTCCTTGCGTCGCCTCTCAGCAATACAATTACCAACGCCACAGGATCAAAGTAGGTCTCTTGGATGCCTCGACGTAACATCTTCAAAGTTTTCTCGAGTCTTAAACTATCCCACAGACTGACACTCCCCAGTCCCATCCAGAGATCAAAGTCCTATCACGTGCCCAACTCCCCTACCACCCTCATATTCATCGGCTACGCAGCAGCACCTACCCTCGCCCCTACCGTCACTTACCAGACTCTGCTTACTGCACTCAATTCCATCTACCACTCCGCCATCGTCAATCACGGCGATGGCCTCATCTTCATCGACACAGTCTCATGGTCTTACGGTGGAGCCATTGCCACCATTGAAAACCACGGCGACGCCCGTACCGGACAGTTGACGTGGAGCATGCTCGCCGATACCATGTATGGAGTCGGAGCCTTTTTCGAGAGAGAGGCGTGCTGGATCGGGGAGTGGATGATTGAGGTTGAGGGGTTGGGGAATATTGGGAGTGGGTTTATCGGTGCACGGGTGGATGAGAAGCTTGAGGGTACGCTGGCTGGGACGGCGGTTGAAACGGCTTGAATGTAGGTAGGAGAAAAGGATAGAGGGGACTTTGTAAATTTTGAACCCGTGTCCACGTCCAGTCGTCGTTTCTCTCGATATGCTTCGAAGATCAACGGCTCCATATATGCTTCTTTTTGCCTTTCATATCCTTCCAGGCACCGTTCTCCAAAATTTTCAAGGCCCTCACCCTGCTCCTGATGGTCCAGACTTGGCATTCACAATTATCTCTTCGCCGCCTCCTACGTTCACCTTTCGCGCTCACAATGCCACACTCCACAAAATCGTCTTTCAAGTCCTGGGTACATTGAAAAAAGGGTCAAGCGATCCAAATGGTTCTCTACCGTGCTACAGAAGCCATAACAATCCTGTCTGCACCATCTCGCAAAAGTATCAAAAGGCTCGATGATCTAGTTCTCCCTCGCTCCACAAGACTTTCGCAACGTCCGTGCTCGCACCACGCCGCGACCGTGATCAGTAGTACCAAATCACCCCGTCCTCGTCGACCTTCACCCTATTCATCCGGGACGATTTCACCCCGCCTTTTCCTCTTGCGGTCAGCTTCTCATATCCGCGATTGTTCCGTTGGGAGCTGTGAGCCCCTGCCCATTTGGGGCGGCGATTCGGTTTGGCGTTGGTGGAGCGATATCCGGAGTCCGTTTCTCTCGACGGTCGTGAATGTCCGCAGCCCATCTTTGTGGCTGTTTTGTTTTTTTTTTTTACTTTGGGGTCGGGTTGGGGAACGGAAATTGATGTTGGTGAGTTGGGAATCTAAAATGAAGAGGGGATGTTGAGATGTGGGCTCTGGGTATAGGGAACATAAAGGCAAGTGCTGTGATCGCAAACGTCAAGTCTCTTTGCTACATGTATGTCCAGCGCCTTTGACACGGCAATTTTAGGTCGTGAAACGCGTTGACGACAATGAACAGACAAAGGAATACCGATGCGATTGTATTATCCCAGACAACCTACCACACAAGACAAAGAAACGCTGCCCTCCTCCCTGCCTTTGTCCGCTCTCTAAGCGATCCACATCACAAACGGAACAGCTCCTGGCTGTCAGCGTCAAGGCATGCAGTCTGCCCCTTTGGAAGAATACTCGGTCGACCTTTTCCGTCGGCCGGTAGAACCAAACAGCGTGATGAGGAGGAGGAAAACATATAGGATGCCAAGACCGAGAAGAATCGGATGGCAGCTGTTGGGATTCGCGCACCCCAGTGGACACTTGGGAGCCGATGCGGGAGCCGCTCTTGAGAGGACGTGTACTGCGCCCATGCTTGCGGATGTCGAGTATACCGTAGTAGTGGTGGAGACTGCGCTGTGGTGGGAAATGGGAGAATGCTGGATATAGGCGATGGTGCAGGTATGCCTCGGCGCAAGGCCGTTCCTTCCTTCCTGTTTATATGTACCCAAGGAGTACAATAGCTTTGATGGCGACAATGGCGCGAGAAAATAATCATTGTGCTACACAATACCTTTACTGTTGGAGAGCAGAACAATCGTTATGGTTCGCCTTGGAGGACTCACCGAGGTCGAGAGCATTCTTGAACGTCGTCGAGAACAATTCCTTGGGCCTCGATCCATTCATCAACCACCACAGTCGAACAGTCGCACAAAGGAGCTCTCGTCGAAATTTGCACGCTTTTTCCTCACAGCAGCCCCAACCATACCCATACCATATGAGTACATTAGCAATTTCCGCCCTTGAATAATTCTCAGCATCTCGGATTCTGAAAACTGCACCCGCTAAATGTTGAACGGTACATAGGTCTGAGATTCGGCGGTGCTGGGAATTCACCCCCTCACCTGACTTTTCGGCCTACGCGCATCACTGTATAATCGGTCAAAGTCTCGGTTTATCATATGTCATTTGTCATCAAGATATCAAACTACAAGTGTGATAGTAACTCAAAGCTCAAAGCACGGATCACAAACTCAATTCAGCATGACTCGTAGATCCTCAGATTTCAATTGCGAGGAGTACTTGCTAAGTTCATGTTGTTACTATGACGGAGAATATGCAAACGGATGTATATACCGTTGAATTGAATTATACCCCGTTAGAAAGAAAAGCTAACGTGCTTTACCAGATTGAAAGATTGTACCAGTGTCGGATACTCCCCAAGACAGAAAGAGAGGATACTCCCAAGAAGGAAACAGATCAAAACTCCAAGACGTCATGACTCGACTACCCAAAACCCCTCACCCTCACCCTAATGGGCCACGATGAGCATATCCTGCGTATCGACCCGCAAACTCTGCGCATCCGCCATCCTGACCGCCTCCGCATCCGCCGCCGCCGGCGTCACGCCCGCCACGCTCCCGGCATCGATATAGGCGTCGAACTCCGCCGTGACCTGGAAGAAATCGACGACGACCGGCGGGGCCTCGCCGTCGCAGTAGACGAAGCCCAGCCCACCGTCGGAACCCTGCCGGATGTAATCCGGGTACGCGAGCAGGGCGGCGCGGTTCGGCGTCTGGGGCCAGGCGGCGTTGGCTTTGGCGAGGGTGTCGGGCTCGCCGGAGGCGGAGGGGCGGCCGTCGGCGAGCCGGCGGTGGTCGGACGGTCCGAGGGTGCCGTCGCTCATGCCGAGTTGGTAGTCGGCGTCGTACCACGTCGATCCCGCCGTGGCGGCGAAGTTGACCTCGTACCGCGCGCCCCGGACGCCGGCGGTCCAGGCGGTCAGGGCGCCGTTGAAGGTGGGGTCGAGGGCGACGCTGGTGGTTTGGCCCGCTTTCACCGCGATGCCGGTGCCGAGCCCGCAGGGGGTGGTCATGGGAAAGGTCCCGCTCGACACTTCCGCCATGTAGCAGATGTCTTTGGCGGCGGCGTTGGTGAAGGTGATGGAGCTGGCGGTGGCCGTTGCCAGAACGGCGGCCAGGGCGGCGAGGGTGCGGAGTGATGGCATTCTTTTTTGGTTGCTGTCTGCGATCTTTATATATTTAGGTTGGGTTCGGAGAGTGGCGGTGTCGAGCTGTTGGGAGGGATGCGGTGGAAGTGATGCTGAGGAGCTGAAGAAGAACAAGAGGCGAAGGGTATATATATGATGGCAACAGAAGGCAAGTATAACGCCTGCGAATTACAATGAGGTTCGTATTCTGTTGTGAAGAACAATGTGCACGAAGGCCAATGTGCACCATTGTGCAAGACACATTGGCAAAGGAACATTGACATATTAGCGAGTACAAAGCTTTTCGCGCGATGAGCGGCATCGTCTGGTTCGCGCACCATGAGACATGTACCGAAGGGAAACAAGAGACAATGAGATATTAAGGAGAGACATAGGAGAGCTTGTTCGGAACAAAGACAGCGAGTCGACTGAAAGAAGATTGGCATTATACTGTCTGACGACGACACATTGACCAAAACCGCGTACTTAGCTGTCCCAGATCCCATCTGCTAACACACCATATCCATTTCCCTTCTCTGTACAATTTCTCAAAACCATTACCACACTCCCAACTTCCCCAACCTCCAACCAAAACACCAAACAACCCTCCTCAACCCAACCACCGAAATGGGCTGCGCACCGTCCCGTCCCTCGAACCCCGTCCCCCGGCCGCGAAGGCAGACCGACGAGCCCCGAAAGCCCAACAACAGCCGCCTATCCCGCCCCTTCGACCCCAACATCCCTCTATACGTACCCCATTACCAACACCCGTCCGTAGTACCGCCCGTTGATCCGGCAAGGTACGGGGACGCATACGCGCAGCTGAACGGCCGCAGTAAGCAGAAGCGCGCGCCGACGCCGTACAAAGCACGCCAGAGTGTACGGCCGGTCGATCCGGAAAGGTACGGGGATGCGTACGCGCAGCTGAACGCCCGCAGTGCAACAGAAGGGCGCGCAGGCCTCGCGCAAGGATCAGAAGGTGCAGTATGCCCAGGGCCCCAGGGTCAAGAGTCAGGCGGTGCATTATTCTAAGGGGGATACGCTGTACTTTTCGAGTTAGTGCACCCATGCTGTAATCTTTAGCTTTGAAAGTGCGCGTTCATGGTCCTTGATACTTGAAGATGCCATGTGTGAACGCTATACCTTTGGTTTCTTCCGTATCACCGTGTCCAACCTCGTAGCGACTCTCATCAAGTCATTCATTGAAGCAAGCCATTACCCCCATCGAGTCTGGCAAGCTGGCCAAAAAGTCGCAGTCTTGGAGCGCCGGCCTAAATTGGTATCTGCAAGTTCATGGACGACTAGTATGCCGTTTCATGAGTACATGACCTCTCGTTTTGCGCAGGGATCTCAAGCTCGGGTAAGCCAGTACCATGGCAACTGCGCCAATCTTTCGGAAAATGCGCCTTTGGTGATGGGACCCCTGGCTTGTGTCTTTCATCTTGAGACAAGGGAGGTAGGGAAAAACATCGAGGAACGCTTTGATGAGACAAGACAATGAACAATCGACAAGTCATCCACAAAGCCTCGATCACGAAATGAACAAAAGTAGCAACAACAAACTTTATCCCATAAAGAGACACCACAACAATGGCGCCAAATGCTGAGCACTTGTATATACTCCTCGCATCTGTACTGTTAACGCTCATCTGAGATATCGTTCGTACAATCTCGTCTCGCCTTGAAGATACTCACCCCCCTACCCAAGCCGAGAGCGTCAAACAGTTCCCATTCTCGTTCCATCATACCAGGAATCGATTCTTCACCCAGAGCCACACGCATCAAAATGGGCTCCATCGCCTCTCGGCCCGTTCGAAGCATTACCAAGTTCAGACCTCTAGCCGTTCAAACTACTCTCTGGCTCGCCCGCCTGACCGAGATCCTTTCCTGGCTCAAAAACCGCATACCCTCCCGTCCCGTCAAAACCTACCCCACGCTCTCGGAGCCAGGCCCGCATATACCGGTCGAAGCCCCTCCCGTTGCGAAATATCTTTGCGGAGACCAAATCGATCGATATGACTCGGCCTACGCAGAAATGAGCCTGTCAAAGTGTGAAAGGATGAGAAGGCAGTCGGCTCCTGAGCCGCCCAGGCTGAGCGGCGCCAACGTTGATATGCCTGCGGTCGATGTAGATAGTGGCGAGAGGTTAGCTTTGACCGGCGATCCTTTTCTATTCTTGTGACTTTGAGCACAGACTTGGGTAAGATGGTTTCGAATTTGACTGATTCGGTTAGCTACCTCGGCACTGGAATTTTCCAGTCACAGGGGTTGCGAGTCTTCCTGCAGACCTGCAGATGCCGGTAGCAAATCAATCCAAGATGTTGAGATCCGTGTAAACGTCGCTCTTGGCCGCAAGCTCTGAACGTGGATAAGCCTCTTTACCTATCATCCCATCCCATAGTAGTATCGGATACTGTTCAAGGGTCACCGTCATGGATTGCGGCCACGCGTAAGTGCTTCAGCAACGCTGTGGGGATTTGCAGATGAAAGATGGCAGGAAGTATTTGGACTCATTAAGATCCCACCACAGCCCAATGACAACAGGACGATTGACAGGCTCTGGAGTGGCGCTGTACAGTTCTCAGTGGAGATGATCAGGATTGAGAGCAGATGCTCCCCCTCGACCTTGACGGTGATGAATATTGCCGTCGTCAACACGTTCAGATACTCTTGGGCATGAAAGCACACGCTCATGGCCACAGCACATTCGTTAGACTGGCTCGGCCTTTCGTTTGATCATTACCAGTTATGCATTGTTGGATCGCTTGTCCGTCGGTACTGCCGTCGGTGGCTTGTACAATTCCATCAGTGGAAGTAATGGACCCCGAGCAATATCCTTTCTTCCAGCTGCTTACCTCCAGCCTCGAGCCAATCCTCGACTCGGCAACTCCTGATCCTAAAGCGATCCTCGAAACGACTCTTATCGCAACGCTAAGAGGCCTACAAGAACTGCTCCGAAGAGAGCAACGGGCTGCATTCCATGACCATCTGCCAGGTCTGATCAGCTCGATCGAAAACCGTGTAGCTATTGCGGGTATTGATGCACATCCTGTGACGTTCCATGTCTTCTGCAAAAGCGTTGCAGAGCTTTTCGCGATAGTAGGCCGCGCAACTGGCCTGCTGCAACAGGACGGAGAGCCGAAAATAGATGGTGTCTCAACTCAGCTGTCCCGACCTCCACCTATCCCCGAGACCTCCTCATACCACAACACCGCCACGGTTGTAACGACAAACGGGACATCACAGAGACCAAGATCCTTCCCAGTCCGCAAAAGACTTGGTAGTGGAACACCAGAGACCAATGTGCGCTGGGATTCCGGAACGCAGATGCCCTACGCGCAGCTATCGATGAGTCACTGCATCAGGCTCCGTCGCCGAGAATGGCACGATCAGGTTACCGAGGAGGCGATGGCGGCTGTCAAGACGGCGATGGGAGGCTTCGCTACGCACTGCGGTCACTGGTATAATTACGCCAATGGCCGTCCTGTGAGCTTGTAATACGGCGGGTTTTACGTGTTTACCGACTGACCGTGTCGTGCCGTAGTTTGCGATTGGAGGGTGGAGCGGGCTCGTTGCTCGGAATGCGGAGCGCCGGTCGGTGGACAGGTTGAGTGGGTGACGAGGGCGAGGGATATGGAGGGTTGATGTATTTGGCAAATGTGGCCTGTGCGGGCGTGATGGCTTGAGATGATGAGCCAGATAGTGGATCTGCCACCATGAAAGCCGGGGGGTTTTTTATTCTCTTTGTACATAAGAATGTCTTACTTATGCATTTCACACCCCCATCAATAATGATCAGGGGGATCAGGGTCCTCATCCCCACTAACACTCGGCTCGCTCTCTCCCCCACCTCCCTCATGAACCATACCGTACAAACCATCCGATTCGCCTCCAATCAGCGGTGCCCTCTCCCCTTCCTTCCGCGCATAATGACTCCCCACGCTGATCGCCGCGACCGAAAGCCCATGCACCATCGTCGATCCCAGGACGATAAAGCAGACCACAGGCCACACCGTCTCTATAGCCTGCTTGTTCTCGTTCTCCGCGGGCGGGTGCGCGTCCGGTATCGACGTGCCGTTCTCCAGCATGGCGCGAGCTTCGATGACGAGGAAAAGCGCGCCGACGCCCATGGGGCCGAAGTAGCCGCAGAAGAGCGCTTCGCGGTACGTTCGGATGTCGGGGACGAAGCGCTTCATGGCCAGGACGATGGGGATGCGGCGGAAGAGGAGGATGAGGACCAGCAAGCCCACCAATCGGCCCGGCGTGATCGAGGGTGTAAATTCCGTCGGGGTGAAGGACCTCCACGGGATGATGGCACCGAAGTAGACGAACATGCTCGAGTTCAGCAGCAGGTCTAGTATTTCGGGCAGGTTTGTTTCCCTCGTCTTTTTCGCGAACCAGCCGTCCCATGCGAAACCGTAACCGGCTCCAAAGGCCACGAGGAAGTCGTCCACGCCCAGGGTTGAGCCGATCCCGACCGAGAAGATGGCGAGTAGGAAGTAAAAGACAAGGAAAGGCGCGGGACTGATGTACGCCCAGCGCTCCGCGAATCGCAGGCTTCGATTGAAAGAGTGGCCGATGACGAGGCCGATCAGTAGACCGAGCGTACATTGCCATAGCACGGTCCCAAGAACCCACTCTTTGATCGCAGCTCCCGGCGTCTGCTCGACGAGGAAGAGGATGCCAATGTACAGGAAGGGAAAGCTAACGCCGTCATTGCATCCACTCTCGGCACTGAGCATGTGCCTCAATCTCCTCGGCACTCTTTTGGAGAAGGTGCTCTCGGCCAGCACACTGGCCGCCAGCACGGGATCCGTAGGAGCGAGACACGCACTGATGATGAGGGCCGTCGTCAAATTGGTCTGCAACACCGCGTATACGAAGCCGGCGGTAATGAGCCAACTAAAGGTCATGACCGGCCCCAACATCATGCCCACGCTTTTCCAGTGGCGCGAAAAGTACGCTTTCGGCAACTCCACGCCGACGGTGAAACACTGTAGCCCAACCACAACCCTCGCTGCCTCCTGCGTGATGTCGTCCGAGAACCATCGTACAGAGCTGATGAGGTTTGCGCCTTGGGGTCCAAAGGCTATGCCGACTAGAGTGGCGAGTGGGGGTTCGGAGAGGTGGAGGCGGTTGCGGATGAAGGCTGAGAAGAGGGCGTATAGGAGGAGAAAGGCAGAGAGGATAAGGTAGACAAAGTGGGTGGGGGTTAATTCGAGCTGTTTGCTGATCCAGGACATTGCGGGAAGGCGCAGGGTGGGATTGGGAGGTGTGGAGGGAGAGGTGAGGTTGTGTGGAGGTTGGAGATAGTGGTTGGGTTGATGGGGATGATTCAGTATCTGGCTTTCATTCTGTTGCACATGCTCGGAGCGAGATCTGATGGTACGGAGTATTCAGGATGGTGAATGAATGAATACATGTGCATGTAGAGATGAAGAGTATACATAGAGAAGGGAGCTAGATATCGAGGTGGGGTCGTACTCGTATCTTACCTCAAACTCTGGATTTTGCATGGCCCACGGACTTCGCTGAACCTCTGTGGCTTTTCTTCTTAGCTACATCTATCTTAGCTCAAAACCCATGCAGGCAGTTAAAGTATCTTAGTGCCGGTTGTGGCCCGCTCCCAGATTCGCCTCGCTTAAACTTTAAGGTATCTTAGCCTCACGATTCCAAATACCCAATCACAATGACACGCCCGAGTGACGAAATGGAAAGATTACTATTCCAAGACCCAAGAACCACTTATCAGCCAATGTTATCTATTAAAAACGCTATGCTCGCTGGCGTTCATCCAAGACGCACAGTACCCTGCAAAGGAATCGAACCTATATACACCCAGGCCCATCATATTAACACCCATCATCAAGCTTATTACATATCCTTTCCCTTCTCTTCCTTGCCAGCATTTCTCACCAATGCCATGAAGCTCTCTTCACCCCCAACATCCCACGCACCTTTGCCCGTGCTATCTCCCCAACCAAGTACCCCTAGGACTTCTTCTTTGCCTCCATATAGTTTCCCTTCCAGTGCGCCCAAAACAGCCACCGCTGTTCTTATGATGACTCCGTCTCCATCGAACACCATGACGTCCCACACTCTGACCGCTCTTTCCACACCTAATCCATTTCCAGGACCTAGAAAAAGCGTGCGCATCATAGGTTCAAGCGCTTCGTGCGCTGTGAGGCCGAGTCCAGTGGGTGCTGGGTCGAAGAGATGGGCGTGAAGACGTGGAAATTTATGAGAGAGCAAAGCATCAGTGAGGGAATAGGCTTTGGCCGTTGCAGATGGATCGCCCGTCAGGAAGGCGAGCGGTAGGGGGCGATTGAGGAGGTTACAAAGGGTGAGGAAGACGGAGGTGGGATCAGGAAGGGTCAGGGAGAGAAGAGCGGCGATGAGCTGGTATGATGTTAGCTGGTCTGTAGGAACATTGACAGTTGGGTGGGATGTCACATGAGTGCCGTGACTGTAGCCGACGTCCGAGCGGTACATTGAGTAAGCCATCAGAACATCGACCAGATCACCGTGTAATGGGCCGCTCGGTTGGAAGATTTTGAGCTCCGGAAAAGCGACCCTAACGTCCCTCTGGATGGCATCAAACCAGACCTTCTCTTTATCCAGCTCTTCTTTGCCCGGCTTTACAAGTCGTGCTTCCACGTCTTTGGCCCTTTGCAAAGCCTTTTTGTATGTGACCTCTGTCAACGCAAGCTCATTTCCAACGGCTTTCTGCCAGACCTGAGCTCGTGATTTTGGTGCCACTCCCCTCCACCAAAGCTCACGAGTGCGGGGCTCTCGGACCACTTGATCCCAATTCGGAAGTACATGTTCCTCCCATATTCGAAGGAGGGCGCTTTTGGTATCGTCTTTGGCGCATTGAGAGTCAGCAACTTTCGCAGCTCTTTTCCTCTCTGGAATTTCTACATTAGCACAGAAAAGGATCAATACAAAGCATTCGACGTACCGGCTTCCAGAGAAAACTCCATCATTCGTTGGTACTCTTTCAAGTGCTTTTTTTCCTCTTTTTGGCTCTTCGGAGGCAGCCAGCTTGGTCGCGTCCTGCTAAGCACCTTCTCCTTTTCTTTGCTTATAGGCAGTGGATCAATCATAACGTTATTCTTTCGGAGAGGGGGAAGCTCCACCGTGCTCGTCCTCGACCTCGACAGCTTTTCCAGGCTTGATCTGAAGGACGTTTCCCCGTTCTGAACGGCTTCCTCATGTTGCTGTTCGGCCAAGACAGCATGGTTCTCGAATGCTTCTGTCAGCGATTTAGCTTCTTCCGAGAGCTCCGATAGTGCTACGTTCCAGGATTTTGTGCGTGATGCAGCAAAACCGAAATGATCGGGCATTGTTCCTGTAGAAGCACCTCGTAGCAAGGTCTTCGGTTTCCTTGGTGAAGAGGGTGGAGAAGTCATGTTGCCCGCCAGTGGTGAATTTGCTCTGAGGACTGGAGCGGTCCTTGGAGGTTGCGAGGAATGATTACGGGAGGAAGTGTGAAGAGGACTGGATCGTTCCGGACTTGTGCAAGGTGAAATCTTGGGCGAATCGGACGCAGATATTGAGGTCGTCCGCTCAGCGGGGGGTCGAGGAGAAAGCGGTACATTCCATAGACTCGCATCATCGGGAAGGTCTTCGTCTGAATCATTATATTCCGCTTCTAGCTCTGTTGTAGTTTTCCGGCTTGGCTGCCAAGAGCCACGTCTGGCTTGCGGATTCATCGCCTTTATTGGGGCTAATCTTGGTCTCCGAGGCGCTGCCGGGTTGGACATGGGTCTGGACACTGGGCAGACACCATTGGGAGATGGGCTCCGAGACAGGGTGCGATTGCTCATGGCTGCCATAGCTAATGATGGAGTCGAAGGGCTCCTCAAGCCTCTTCTTGGTGGTCCTGGAATTGGCAGACTGGCAGAATAAGTCGCGGAATGTTCTTTCTTCGGACCTTGCAATAGGGGGTAAGGCCGGTTCTTTCCAGCATTTGTGAGCTCTCGCATAGTAGCCATTGGGGGGGCCGCGCCGGCTACGGGCCGCATTGGTTTCTCCATGCCATGTAGATTCCGCCCGAAGAGATGATCTCCGTCAAGACCAATGTCTTCAAAGTGGGTAATATCAGATAGAATGCCGTCTGGGCCGGACAAAGAAGAGGAACGGTATGAGGAAGATTTGGAAGACTTGGATCCGGTCAGACCGGGAGGAGAGCCAGGGGCGTCGGTCATTTCATCGTCAGGTGTGACGGCAACATGAATCAGCGAGCGTTGGCATGTATGCGTTGGATGTGTGGTATAGCTCTTAGGGAAGCGAGTGATGTTGGTAGCGGTGTAGAGTGGGGGATGCAATGTTTTGTTGGTGCTTTCTGAGGATGAGAATGAGGGCGCTTTGAAGTCGACCTCTTGACAATGACGGTGAACGTGTAAAGAATGGCGGGCAGCACCTAGGATAGTGACAGGTATGTATGTACAGTAAGAATGGTAGTGGTCATCGACATCACCTAAGAGGTCAACAACGGAGAGAGCAGTGAAATTTGGGGTCAGAAATTCGGGCATATTTTCAGCCTTTCCGGAGTACGAGTAATCTTAAAGCGCGGGCGCGAGAGCCAAGACGAAGGATTTTCGTATCGGGCGATCCAATTGATGTAAGATACGACTCACTCGCAACAGCAGCTTCAATGTCTCGTTGAACCTCAATTGCAAGCTGTCCAAAGAGTACATCAAAGTAAAGAGGAGAAAATTGCAGAAATGCGACAGGAATATTGCGAATCTTTGTTTGTGGGGGCACTGTCAATGATTGTGGGGTTGGTGCATATGTGGCTGGCAACAAGATTACAAGCGTGCATTCCGCAGGGCTCATTCTTGGTAATATGTACCAGCATTCATTGTGCTCTGTAGAGGAGTATTATCTGCTCTAAAATTTATAATCTATAAATATAGCATCGCCTTCTTTCACGATCCTATTGAGCTTCCACATCTCCTTGGCTTTGTCCGACTTCGTCCGCCGAATCGCATCATCAAGCCAAAGGATGACAAGGCGATATTTGCTTTGCTTCTTTGCTAAGATGTTGCGAAAAGCTTTTGCCGCCAACCTGTGTATCATCCTTTGGTTAGCCTTGTGGCACGATTTTGCGACTGCAAACATGTGGGATTCCCGCGTGTTCATGCAGGGGTTGGAGCTGAAGCAGGGGCCGCTTACCATTCTACTTGGCATTTGCTGACCGTACAGCTATAGCCTTGCTCTGTCTGACGTTTGTGCTTGCCTTTGATGAGTACGAACGCCAATTCAACCAGATCGTGTATGGTACCTGCATATGTCATCAATGTATCTCGTTAGCTTACGTCCCACAACGATCTCTGCCTTTCTGATATGGACTCGACCAGACTCACCTATGAGCAGATCTAGGTGAGGGTGCTTCCCTCCTCCCATGCACTTGGCGTACCGATAGTACTTCATAGCTGCCTCCACAAAATTCTGATAGATGGTCGACAAGACTGTACCAGTGGAATTGAAGTTTGTATCGAGGAACATCTTGTGTGTCTGGATCTTCAAGGCACTGCAATTACTGTTAGCCAGTGCCGTTGGCCACTCAAAAGTACACACTTCAACGCTTTACGGTAAAAGGCCTTGCCCGGGACTTTTGATGGCTCGACGGTCAATGTATCCGCTAGCACTGTTACCCATTAGCAGAGAAACACGGTTGAGCTTTAGAGCGCTATCAACTACCTGTACCCTTCCTTCGATCTCTGTCTTTAGTGATTTCTAGTGTTTTGGTGTTAATTGAGTTACCGCAGTAGGGAAACTCAGTTCTTTCATGCAAGCAAGGCACCTGAGAGCCATTGACGATGACGTCGAAATTCGCAAGGCTTTTGACCGGATTCACCTCGACGCCATACTTTTCAACTCCGTCATGCATCACCTGCAGGAATTTCTTCGCGTGATCTTTGTTAGTTGTTATAAGCAGGAAATCATCAATAAGTCTGAGCAGGATACTCTGATCCCGTTCTAAGAACCCCAAGCATTCTTCTTCTAGCTCCGCGTAGAAATAATTGCAAAGCAGACTGGACAGGACCGAGCCTTGTGGTATACCAACCTTTTGCCGGAAGAATTTCTTGCCAATCTTGATAATGTTCCTCTCGACATGATCCTGCAAAAGGTCCAAGGTCTTTTCCTTCTTCTGTAAAGTCTGGACGATGCTGTTTACAAAAACAGTATTTTTCTTTGCTGTTCCCAGACCAGCACTTACGAAATCGTCGAAGCTTTGGAAGTCTGTGGCCGCCCTCGCGGTGGAAACGAATTTGCGCGCCGGCTTGATGTCGATATTATTCCTTGCAAAGTCATAACCATGAGTGTCGGAAGGTTTGACCTCCGCGTGTCGAGCGATTCTATAGCCTTCCTCGGAAGCTATCTGCTTTATGAGCCTTATTACGTCGTCTTGAGGGATAGTATCAAAACATGATTTGGCATCTGTCTTTGCGAAATAGTAGAAATTCGACGGTGGTTTTGCCCCCGTGAATCGTTTGTGCGAAAGCTTTCAACTTCGGGTACATATCCCCAACTGAGAAAAGAGCTGAGCCTACAAGAGCTGGCCGCTTCCTTTTCTCAAAGTCGAGCACATTGAACACAGGTGCCATGACAGAGTTGATACTTCTGCCCAAGGTAACTTTGCCGTTCTGTAATTTGGTGACGCGTCGGCGAAGATTTGTGATGGGCCGTACTCCGTTGCTTTTAGGGAGCAGTCTGATTTGGCTGAAACCCAAAGCGCGTGCGTCGAGCAAGCTTTTGGCTTTCACAGTCTTCATCTCTTCGTACATAGTGAGTTTGAAGTTCGCCATAGCGGGCTCCGTCAACGCCCGCCACACGTCGTGTCGAAAATAAAAGAGACGATTCCGGTGAACATTCGATTCTGTGACATGAAAATTGGAGCGGATCAGTGGTATCAGTAAAGAGTCGAACACGTAGTAGAGGAATTCTAAAAATATTTCTTTGCGCTTCTCAACATCGGAAGCTGCAACCCTCATGGAATGGTTGACTTGAGCTGGTTTCAACCAGGTCATACATGTCAACTGCAGGTGTCAGCTTCACTCCGCGCTTTTGATTTGGGGAACCTATTACCTTCAAGCCTTGAAACACCGCATGCAATGACAGACTCTCGAATCTTCTCAATCGAACAAAACGATCAGTGTTCCGCATCACAACTTCTTTATTATCCTGTCCTTGGTTTCCTTCGCCCCAGAATCTGTCCGGTATTAAATTGGATAATACAGCTTGGCAAAATGCAGATACATCAGACTGAGGGGTCGCTAGCGAAACCAAAGGTGCATTGGGAGGCTCCGCTCGAATTTGAGGAACAGCGGCATTAATGACTGTGCACGATGAAGGGCCTGGTACTTGACTGTCAACCTTTTCGGGCATGGTTCTCGCTGATCCAGCAACCACTATCCGCTTGGGACGGAGGCCTGTTCGCTATTCGATGTTATCAAGCTGCATTGGCAGGAAAACGCATTATCCTGCTCACCTTTGCCGGACAGTAATGCTTCAGGAGATCATGATACGAGCATCGGGAGTGTAGTCTCTGCAACTTTCTGACAAGATCCAGCGCCTCACCTCGAAGCCTTTTCGGTACTCGGTGTCTGACGGCAATGCTTGAAGCTTCAGCGCTTCCTTTCTGTAGTTTTTGGCGTTCCAACTGAGCGATTTCTTGCTCTCGAAGAGTGTAGTCTTTGAAAGGCTGAATGCTTTCCTTTGAGTCGACTGTACAAGTAAAGACATTGTGCATCCCAAATTGCCTCGGGAACAAATATTTCATCACATGGGCTGTGTGCTCTATATTGCCACTGTCTGAATATCGATTCAAGACATCTATTACACATTAGTCCGACCGTTTGTACAGTCGTTCCGAACTTACGGATATGTCGCAAGCCAAAGGTAACTCTTCCCTTGGCGTTTAAAGCCGCGCGTGCGTAGAACATACGATTTCGAACGAAAGTAATGGCAGCAGGATTTTTGTGCGTTGATTGAGCGACATGACATAATATAGATGTCTTGCAGAGCTCTGGCTTCGAAGTGAGTACTTTTCTCTGAAAATTTGAGGCACTCAGAGGTTGTAATTCGGTCAATGGAGTCCCTGCGTCTATGATTGAGCTCAAGGCTTGAATAAGAGGGCGCTGGGGTAATTCCCTACCTGATAGCTGGTAATAATTACCTAGGCCCTCGTCGCCGGCCAGGAATATACCACAATCCAGAATTAGATCAAGCACTATGCGGTCACCTTCTTTCCCTAGCAAGCTCAATGTCTCCGTCCAGGGTGAGCCTTTAAGCGCGTTTACATTTGCATTGGGGTAGTGCGATACAACTCCTGGGATGCCAGCGATTGCACAATGATCTTCATTGGTTTGTCGCGGGTTACTCGCACGCTGAAAGCCATGACATAGCATATGGGGCGGTCTATGAGCATGGCGATGAATTTTATGAAATAGTAGCCATATGGCAAAGTCGACAAGATCCGACAGCGACGATGTGCTGCCGCCAATACTGCTCCCAGCAGTGGGACTAACGTGCTGAGAGAAGACTGCAAAGTCTTTCACCCTAGAAGATTCAGGTTGCGACGTCTGCTCGTGGACTGTGCAAACCAAGGTATTGTTCAAGAGTTGAGAAAGACAATGTCTATCTTGGGACAAGGTACCGGTCTCTTCATCGCTGTGGAGAAAGTTGGCCGTGCCAGGCAAGATGGACACAATTTTGCGACGTCTGGCCTTGGACGTTGTGGGCAGCTTCAAGAGTAGATAGTCTCTTAAAGTCAAGATATTGCGGTAATAGAGACTCAACGCAGGATGCTTTACAGGGGTTATGATCTTTTTTTCGACTTTAGCTCGCTTGTGATCTTCGTCGAAGGGGCGACATCGTTTTCGCTTGCCCATCATGCGCACCACACGTTCTCAGAGTTTTACTGAGCAGCGGGCAATAATCGTATGGGAACATGGCAAGACATAACCGAAGGTGGGGGAGTGCACCCTCTTTTTCTCCAATAAAAGGCAGAAGAGAAGTTTTCCATATGTTTGAATGAAGAACCTTCATTCAAACTTTTCAATGGTTGTTGCTCACACGAGAAACCAAAGTAAAAGCAGATGATTTGACGCGTTGAGTCGCGTCAAAGGTCGAAAGCTAGTCAGCTTACGGGTAGGACTCCACCGGGATTGGTTGAATTACTTGAGCATAGAAGACGTGATGCAGATTGCCTAGACAAAGGACCTAGGTAGGCCAGACTGTATCTTCATTGACTGAAAATTTCAATTGACTGAAGCTGCAAACGCGAGCCCGCGTACATGATTTATCTCTCGCTGCTCCACTGTCGCCCGTGGCCTCGGATGTTTGGTACAATACTTTTTGCGTTGAAGCGTATCTCACAGACTCTCAAGAGACACTCTCTTCTGTTCCCGACGCAGCTCTTCAAGGGAATAAGATTCATACCGGCCACTGGTTAATCCGCCGAATGGCCGTTGAAGGAAAGTCGCTTCTAAGCAAGAAGCGCAAGTACGCTAGTGTGGTATCCATTGTCCACTGGACATTCTGTAGAGTACCACTGGACTCGTACCGTAGTCCGGGTAGCAGGCAGGAATCCGGGACTGTCAACTTGAGTCGCGAGCGTCGTTGCAAATAATTCTTTGGGAACCTCAGAAGTCGGAGCTGATGGTCACCACCTTAAGGCATGCGGCCGCCAGGTGTTTTAAGGTAAAGCATTGCCAGCAAGATCCCTGCAAGTGGCTTGCTTCGTACACCGTACCGTACTCTATCCGTGGTTTCGGGCCCGCCCAGCAATTGAATTCTGCTCAGTAGCGGAACAAGCATTTGGCAGTGACAACAATCATTATTATTAATTGCTTGCTGGGCAGTAGCGCAGGGTAATTAAGTCGAGGACGTTCTCTGGGTAGCTGGCCGTTAAATATTAAGTACCTCAGGGAATCCTCGTTGTTATCAAGCGGATTGGTGGGATCAAAAAAGAGGCTCAATCTCATTGGACCATGCTCTTGCTTTCGGGTACAGGCCATCATCAATTTCAGTACGACTCACCAACTCCACCTCACAAATTGCCATAACCACGTCTTCCTTCAAGGGTGCCTTATCAACCTATCACTCCACCTGCACATTACTGCTGCGCGCGATAGATTTCCAGCTTCACGTATTTTCTCCGCGTTTGTCTCGTGCGACAACTATCCGGACACACTACACTAAGACCCTGCATTTCTGGGCCATCAATTTGACGTGCCTGGTAAGGCCGAGTTGTACAGGTGACACAACACTGATGTCTTACATCTCTCACCCGAGGTCAGCATGTCGTCGTCCTATGCCTTAGAAAATCACCACAGTCCCTCGTCATCCTCCTACGACCCCGCAGCTCAAGACATCGATCCTACATCACGCCCTCCATCCATACCCCCTTTACCTGCCTATGCCTATACTCCCTCGGTGAAACGGCCCAGAGTGTCGACTTCCTTCGAACAGAGCAACTCTAGCGCTAGGGTCAACGGCACTGGGAGGGACTCTCCCGATCCTCACGACTTCTACAGGCACCATCAGCATCAATTCGGGAAAGCTTTGAATGATGGACTGGGCCAGGGAGATATAAGAGTGGAACACCGTGACGGTAGCATGGGCCACCAGCAGAGGTCTGGCCCTGTCTCGAGAGCCAAAGGGCAAAGCCTGCATGCTGTACCGTCTCGCATCAATACCCACGACTATCATTCTTCTCCCACCTCCGACAGATCTCCCTTGAGCGCCGCCAAGTCTAGCCCTACCCTAAACACTGCCCGAAATCGGCAGACATCGTTGAAGGACCTGGTGGACAAGTTCAACCAAACTCCTGACGAGACTTTGCCATTACCAAGGAAGTCTAGCTCAAGATCTCCGTCTGCAGGCTCCAACCCATCAACCAGTGCTCAAAGCTTAAGACCTCGGAATTCGTCCTTGTCATTCCGCAATGGAAATGCCTCTTCGAGAATGGGTTTGGTTTCGGAATCATCACGGTCCACTACCAATGCAAGACCTCACCCTCGAAGAGGGCGGACGAATGAGGATGCGAATACAAGTCCCAGATCAAAGAGGGCTCCGAAGCCTCAACGGACTGAGCCCTCTGACCCCAAGATGTCTGCTTCTCAATCCATGATTGATCTGGCTCCATATGTTGACAACGGTTCGCGAAGGCCTCTGTTTGGGGAAATTTTGGCAATGAGCTCTACCCTACCTGATCCCGGCTATGGCATTGTTGCGACACGTCGAAGGAGAGGATCTGAGGGAAGTATGCATAGCCCTAATCCAATGTTTCCCGAGGAACGAAATCGTCATGTTTCCGAAGGCTCGCCGTCGTCGCCTTCTGCTTGGTACTCAGGGGTCATACCGACATTGGAAGAGATCAAAACGGAGAAGCAGATACCCATTCTTCTCACAAACGTGCATCGACGGACAAGGAGTGACTTCACTGGCGTGCCATCCGGACCACCAGCGTCTACAATGTATGGAATTGATCTTTCGCCAACACAAGATCGACCGTCCTCTCCCAGCTCAATTGGCACATCGAAACGCAATTCTCAATCTCGAATACCTATCAGTACGCGACGTTTAAGTCCTACGTCCGATTCTGGTAACTCTACCCCTTCTACGAGAAACAATTCTGCATTAGGTAGGACACATATGAAATCTCCGACGAGGGTACTGGTCCCAGCCAAGAAGAACAATCAGCGTCCGCGCAGTCCACAACGGCAACCAAGATCAAACACTCCACAAAGATCCCCCCTGCGCGGTGATGTTGGTGCTCAACATACTGCGACTAGCCCTCGGCTTACAGCCTACATCTCAGCTCCGATGCCGAAGAAGTCTCCTCCGCTGCGCAGCTCGAGACCTCGCCAACCAGTCTCAAGTGCGTCAACCACAGCTTCTCGTGCCCGCGCTGCTGATCGATATTCGAGCACCGAAAATGGTAGCCTAAGGAACACACGAGAGAGCCGGCCTCGCAAGCCGCCAGAACTTGGTGCTGTGGATTTTGCGGCAAGGAGGAAGAAAATCCAGCAGGCTTTCACTCAGACTGTCAAGGAGAATGAGAGACAAGAGGTCGAGGCCGAGCAGCGGAGAATGTCCATGGCTCAGGAAGATCAGCAGCTGGAAGCGTCACACACCGGCGAAGAAATTGAGGGACTTGGACATCAGCATGATCATCCCGGGCCAGCTGTCGATCCCGGCCAAGAAGGCCAGCAAGAGGTGGAGGAGGAAAAATTTCAAACTCCAGCGGAGGAATTGCCCAAGTCGGAGCGCGAATTAACAATAAATACTGGCCCTCTGTCAGAACGGTCTGTCCTGGATCTGAGCATGGAGGATTCGCCCACTCTAGGCACGTACGATCGATTCTCGTCAAATCTCTGCCGGGTGCAAGAAGGAAACGGAACGCCTCCTTCCGATGTCGAACCCTCTTCTGCTATCACAGCAGGTACATCCGATTCAGTGGACACGTTCTTTGACGATGAGCCTCAGGAGGATTCGCAGAATAGCTCCAGAAATCCATCGCAAGACCATCAGACTTTGCTCGACCAGATTATGCACATGCGAGACTCGAGTCCTAGTCCCGAATCTCCTCGACGTCCTAGTGCGACAGAAGAATCGAGTTCCGACAAAGATGATCGAGAATCAATACAGATCATGCTTGGTGACACTCCTGTCCTTGATAAAGCGCCGTTCAAGAGGCATCGCGACGAAAAGCTGAAGGATGCACCTCAAGGTGAAGAGCCTGAAAGTCGGTGGAGCATGAGTTCGTGGACTTCTTCTACAAGGTCAAGGGATGACCGAGACACACCGATGGAGCGAATCGACGAACACAGTCCCTCGAATCCTACACAACCCAACGATCTATCCACGTCCACTTCAACAAGCGAGCAGATTCCGCAACAGGCATGGTCTCCTGCATCCTTCTCCTCACCTCGCACCGCTCGAACCACTTTGGATAGTGATGCTTATAGCACAATCAATCGTGTCCTAGATCATTACCATGACACTAATGTTGTCAGTCCGGAGCTGATGAATGATGTCCAACAACACATCTTGACACAGTCTCCAGACCTTGCTCGTCAGGGGGTTGGGACCCGAAGAAGGTGACGCAGCTGTATCTGCAAGAGCTGGCGAAAAGAAGGTATGAACAGTCTACTTCGATGCCTGATCCGCTCAAATTTCAGATCAGAAAACGGACAACATCTTTAAGGGTACCACCGGTACCTGAAAAAGAGGTGAGAGAAGATCACGATGAGAAAATGCTAGAAAGCATGGAACGCGGGCATGATGATTCAACGCCATCCGGTAATAGACTTGCGATCGACGAAGGGGACCTGAAGCCAGCCAGGGCTAGTCTAACTGGACCGGACGATTGGAACATGTCGCCGTCACTCGGTGGTATCTATCTACAAGCGGAAGCCGTGGATAGTCCTATAGAGGAGAAACCTTCATTACCACCAAAAGACTGGAAGACTTTGAAGAGAGAACTGGCAGAGATGCCTAACCAGGCAGGCCAGCCAGCTGCGGACCCTCATCCACAATTACCTCCGATTCAAGGACTTGGACTAGCAATTAACATCATGCCGCCTCAAAAGGATGACTCTCCAGTGATACCTCCACCCCCAATCCCCATTCATTCACCCCCCGCCACCCCCAGCTGATTCCGTCACTTCGAACGCCTACCCTGATAAACCTCCCACCAATGACCCTATGGTGCCTTCCCTTCCCAGTCACGACTCATCACGCCCCTCGAGATCAATGGATTCATCTGCGCAGCCATCGGGCTCCTCTTCTATGTTTGAAGACCGACCGAGTGTGGAGGGACCGTCAGTATTAACGGAATATACGTCGAAAACCTCGTCGCCATCTCCAGACCAGAAGCGCTTGACGAGACGGAGGCATATTATCAAGGAGCTGGTTGACACGGAGCACTCCTTCGGCCAGGATATGAAGGTAGTCGACGACATTTACAAAGGCACCTCAAACGTCATAATCATTTCAGCAGAAGATGTAAAGACCTTGTTCGGCAATTCTGACCAGATCGTCGCCTTTTCGACCAATTTCCTTGACGCTTTGAAGGGAGCTTCCAAATCAGTCTATGTATTGCCAAAGTCGAAACGGTGGCGAAGCAACCGTGTTAGCAATGCAACGTCATATAGCGGGAATACTGATGATCAGTCCTCAATAAACGGACTTGAGCTTAGTGATGATGACAAGGACCGCAAGACCTTCATTGGAGAGGCATTTGGCCATCACATGGCGCACATGGAAAAGGTGTATGCTGAGTACTTGAAAAACCATGATGCTGCCAACCAAAAGCTTCAAGTACTGCAGAAGAATCCCAAGGTGCAAATCTGGCTCAAGGAATGCCGAGCTTATGCTCACGATCTAACTTCAGCTTGGGACCTCGATTCTTTATTGGTAAAGCCGGTTCAGCGGATTCTCAAATACCCATTGTTACTGGAACAACTCTTGGAAGCAACGCCAGAGAACCATCCTGATTATACGGCTTTGGACATTGCTGTTCGAGAAATCAAAGGCATCTCCATGAGGATCAACGAGAGCAAGAGGCGTGCCGATATCATGGAGCAGGTGACAAATAACAGAAAGCGCAAGGAATCAGATGTTCGCATTGGCCTCTCCAAAGCCTTTGGTCGTCGAACAGAGAAGCTCAGACAACAGGTTGGCTTGTCGGATATGGTGGAAGACAAAGCCTATTCAGCGGTTTACGACAAGTTCGGCTCATGTTTCTTCCAGCTTCAGGTCGTGATGAGGGACGTGGAAATGTACACCAACGACGTTCAAATTTTCATGAGCCGCTTTTGCGAATTCGTTCTGGCCATGGAGGCGCATATCGATGTCGCTCAGACAAGCTACCCGGAGGTCGAGAGCAAGTGGCGAAAATTCAGGATGTCCACGAGGGAAATGTCGATGACGGCCCTGACGGACCATGTAAGTTCTCTCGCACTGATTTCGTGCCAAACGGCACTAACCAGAGCCAGATCGCCGCTGTTCGCAAGAATGTGATTGAACCCATGATGACACTATTGAGACTTTACGAAGGCCCTCAAAAGTTGACGCAGAAACGCAACAAGCGAATCATGGACTACGCGCGTTTCAAAGCTATCAAAGACCGAGGAGACAAACCAGATAAGAAAACCATCGAGCAAGGCGAGCAATTCATAGCCGTCAACGATACCCTCAAGGACGAGCTGCCGAAGCTGTTCTCTTTGACAAGCAAACTGGTGGAAGCATGTCTTAACAATTTCGTTCAGCTCCAATTGCAATGGCACATTGTCTGGCGGAGGAAGCTGAGCCAGGCCATTGATGATAACAAAGTACCGAGCAAGGCGCAAGACATTGTCGATGCATTTACCGGTGACTTTGCTTTCTTCGAAGCTCAAGTCCTTTCACTTGGCGTTTGCAACGGTTCCATGCTCAACGACGCCGCCAACTTTCTTTCGCCCTCGACCACGTTCAATGGTGACGATAGCACTTCGCAGAGGCAACCTTCGTCGGTGGAACTCTCAAAACGGCGTACGCTTTCCGTCAGCAGTGACAGATCACCCATACTGCCCAAGCCGGACTTCGGAGGCCGGAGCAGTGGAAGTTTCTTTACCATTGGCGATGGGATTCAACTTGCACCCGCAGGGCAGCCCACGGGGAATTATGTGGAACCTAGTCGCCGCATGCGGGCCAGTTCCACCCTCTCTGGCCATAGTCCGCGAACACCAGAGGTGCCCGGCAGCTACCATTCTTACTCAAACAACACAACACCGGTGAGCTCGACTCCTGGACGCATGATCACTGCCGGCCCCCGGACTTTCACGGAGCCTTCGCCCGCTCATTCTCGTCCAAGCGTTGACCATTCGAGCATTAGCCACGTCAGCGAAGACTCAACGCGTGTCGGTAGGGATTCGTCGGGAAGTACATATCCTCCGGGCGGTCCCACATCTCAGCATCGCGCGGCTTCCCCTTCGGCCCGATATTCTGGCTTCTTCTCCTCGGCCATGCCAATGTCAGACTCTCCACGCAATCAATCTCCAGCACCCGGGCAAGCGCAGAAGGACTTCAATGTCATCTTCCTTGCAGCCAGCGTCTACGAGTTCAACATTGATCGTGCACGGAAAGAGGCAGGCTATCCCTATCTGACCTACGTTGCCGGAGAAGTAAGTTTGACGGTCGATTTGACGGGCGATTGAACGTAGCACTAATCTATTCCCTTAGATCTTCGATGTCATCGGCGAAAAGGGCGAGCTCTGGCTCGCGAAGAATCAAGATGACTCGGACAACTTGGTCGGCTGGATATGGAACAAGCACTTCGTCAAGCTGGCCTCCTGAAGCCTCTCCCTCCTCCACCTTCTCGACCGCCGCCAATCACCCTTCACCTTTCCCCCCTTCTCGCCCAACAACATCGTCCACTATTGCCGTATACCCCGAACCGTAGCGTGTGCCCAAGAGGAATGACATACTCGCGAGCAATGATCAAGACGCAGGTGAATTTTTCCTCTGTCTATCCATGCTCTGGTAATATTATGATGCTTCTTCGGTCATGTACTTTAAGCTGAGAGCCGCATGTACAAGCGAGCGAGCGAGCGACGTTTTCATTCTCCGCCGGGATCTGGCGTCTGGATTCACCGTGGGCATTTTTACGAGGGACGGACGCTTGCGCATTCCCGCGCAGTCTCCTTTTATGGATTTCTTTTCACCATGTGTGGGGATAGGACGTGATACATTTTTGTAGTATAGATACCCGATCTCTGAATGAGGTCCAACGGAGTATTCTGATTGGGCCTGGGAGCACAAGAAATATTCCAGCGGCTTCAGGCGGGGAAGGAGTAGGAATGACAACTTTTTTCCCACTCGGACTTGCACTACTCCCTGTGGTTTGATGACGTTGAAGATGAGAATTGCAGCTTCCTTAACGGGTATCTACATAGCTAGCGTACTCGTATGGGTGGTACTACCTAACTGACTGACTGACTGATGGAAGGATTAGGTGCATACAGAGGTCTGCACCGAAAGTCCTGCACCCGCCAAGACTCTTGCGCTCAGACTTCGGATAACGCCCCACCTAAAGGGCTACCTGGACAATACGTCTGAGTTCTTCGGAATCGCACCTAGCCCTAGCCAGGTTTCGGGGCTTAATACCCTATCAGCCAAAGAAGTACCTAAGTCCCATCATGCGCTGTAAGGTACTTCCCTCTCGGGGCCGCTTTCCGAAGTAGGGTTAGGGCTACCTAGTGCGGGTGCGCTTTCGGTCACCTCTGTACAGTTGGGTCAATTAGGCAGCAGAAATTAGAATGCTTCAGTTCAGCCGCACGATATTCTGAAGAAGATGGGGATTTTTGGGGGATGGGGGTGGGGGGGTGGGGATGGGGCGGGGGAGTTTGATAGGTTGGGTGGGTGCATAAGTTGCAGCGCGTTGATCGTTGGGTGAGATTTGAACAGAGTGTTGAAGATTCTTGGTAGAGTTAATTATAAGTCGGCGTTAAAATGACTGCACCATTCTCAACTTGGTCGCCCCTCCGTGCTGAACCCTGGACACGGGCCGGTGGCGTGAGCCCGCCATTTCGGTTCTCATGCAGATCCCCCCTCCAAGCTCAAAGTTAAAGTAAGGTAATAAGCTAATAAATCACTAGCACTGGGATTGGGGAGAGGGGCTCAACTTCAAGGGGGGAGATTGGCTGGCATGTCTTTCGCAACGTCAACATCTTTTTCTCTTCTTCTTCTCTTCCTCGAATAATTAATTCTCCCCTGCACTTTGAATTGTTGCATGACTCTGTTACCTCTCATCTTTCTTCCCTCATCTTTCTCTCCCTCAATCTCTCTCAATTTGCCATGCAACGACTACAGATATTGAAAGAAGTATATTCATACATCGAGCTCGATAGAGAGATTTCCTCATCTATATCATTTGTTCCCCGCCTCGTCAATTATCCACACAAGACCACTCTCCATTGACACGAGCCCCACATTATCCTCTCGCTTCATCCCGACACTGCTGAACTCAACAGGCGCGACCCACTCAATTCGGAGCTGGGGAAAGCAAGTGCTTCTGGGGCTCCCTTCTGTTGTATGGCTATGTCCCTTGTACATGAGCGACAACATCCATTACACCCAACACCACTGAACCCACCACCATCCATGGATGTGGCAACTCTCGTCAGTAAAGAGAGCAACGGCCTATCATACCCCGCCCCCTCGTCTGCATCCACGGCAGTACGCCCTACCCTAAGCCTACCCCCACAAAACATGTCAGAACCGTCCCCGACGAGTACAATGGTCAATGGCCGGATATACAGGTATGTAAGATGGGATCACATCGGCAGAAAGGCTCCTGATGAAAGCTACAGCTTGGATATTGTTCAACAACCTGTCCGGGCTCGCATGTGTGGTTTCGGAGACAAGGTTAGTCGGGGCGATTGGAGCAGCAAGATCTCGAATGTTGGGACTGAAGGCCTCAAATGCGTTAAGACGGCCATAGCTGAGACTCGGCGTTGTGCAGGACAGACGGCCTATCACACCACCGCCGTGTATCAGACTTGTGGTTAAGGATGCTAGTACCAACAAGGAATTGGACATAAAGTTAGTGGCCTTTCATTCGACAATCCTTTCTTTCGATCAGAAGATGCTCGACGGTCATGCCAGGCTTAAGCTGAAGTTTCATCTCGGACAGTGACATCGATACCTCGTACTTCGTCCTCACCGTCGATCTCTGGTCGGCAGACGCCCAAAAAGAAGTCAATCTCGTCCGACACTCCGCAACATCTCCCTCCATCTCAGCTGCGACATCCTCCGCCTACCCCCCACCAGTCGATGACACATCTGCTTACGCTTCCAATACCCTTCAGCAAGTTTCAATGCCTTCATCATACAGCCAGCCTCCCCCACCTCCACCGGCCTCGGCCTACCAGCAGACATCGTCTCAATACCACCAACACCAATATTCTCAACAAGGTCAAACATCGCAACCACCACCGCCGCCACCGCCACCGCCACCCGGGCAGCAGCAACAAGGTTACTACAGTACGCCTACGGGTACCCCGGTAACCCCAACATACCAGTCGCAGCTTCAGCAAAACCAAGGCCCCTTATTATCGCCATCACAACTTAGCGCTCCCTCGTGCGATCCTCGTTCTCAGGCGAGTGGCATGTTCACGCGGAATCTCATCGGCAGCCTCTGCGTGAGCGCTTTCAAACTCACGAATCCAAACAATGAAATGGGGGTCTGGTTCATCCTGCAAGATCTTAGTGTGCGCACCGAGGGTTCTTTCCGGTATTTTGACCTGAATTTCCTAAACCTCCACTATTTTCACGCACGCACCCAAGCTTACCTTGCATCACAGACTGAAAATGAATTTTGTCAATGTCGGCTCTCCCACCACCGCTCAAACGCTCAATACAGCCTCGGCTCCCGTCCTTGCGTCGTGCTTCAGCGATAAGTTTGACGTCTATTCAGCGAAAAAGTTTCCGGGAGTCATTGAAAGCACGAATCTGAGCAAGTGCTTCGCTACGCAGGGGATCAAGATTCCGATCCGGAAGGATGGGGTCAGGGGTAATGAGAGGAGGCCTGGGGAGGGGGAGGATGATGAGTAAAGGGAATGGAGGGGATGGATACGACTGTGACATGAGTGAAGAGGGACGCGGGGACCATTGGGAGAACAGAGGGTAATGAGGGATATTATTAGATTGGTACGGGAGTATCCATAATGAAGCGAGGGTTGGGATGGGTAATGGGTAGGAAATCTGTATTGTATAGACTCATTGATAAACCCTTCAAAAATAGCCGTCTCAATTGAACGACCGGTCTTCACCCACGCCACGCACAAATCCCATGAACGTCGACAACATAAAAACGTCATGCAGCGCCCTAGTCGATCTCTCTGCGCCCCTCCACCCGCCAAAGAACCCTCGCCTCGTTCGTTCTTTTACCCACCAGTGCCTCCAATCCGGCAAGAACGACCCCCGTCAAAGTATTCCCCCCCCCAAGCAATCCGACAGACTAACGCGCTTGGCTTCCCCTTTCCCCTTTGCCCTTCCGGCCACAGAGCTACGGTGGGTGCTACGTGACAATGTCGTGGGCGGGTCGGGTTTTATAGGCGTCTTTGATGTCAGTTTGGGTGATTTGTATTTGTATACCTGTGTGGTTTGTATACTTTAGAGATGTACGCGGTTGAGGACTTGTTGGGTTTGTGGAAGGTTATAGGGGGGTGGGGGGGAGGGGTGGGAGGTGAAGGTGGGGGATGGTGGGTGGGAGTAGTGGGGTGGTGGATGGTGAGGGGGGTGGGGGGGGGGGGTGGGGGTCGGTGGGGGGTGAATGGCTATGGTGGGTGGTGGAAGGGGGGGAAGGTGGGTGGGGTGGGTGGGGCGGTGGGTAGGTGGGTTACGGTGGGTGTAGGGTGGGTTACGGTGGGGGGGGGTGAAGGGTGGGTGGAGGGATGGAGGGGTGGTGGAAGGGATGGTGGGGATGGGGGGGATGGGGGGGTGGAAGGGGTGAAGGGATGGAATGAAGGGGGTGGAAAGGGGGTGAGGGGAGGTGATGGGAGGTGAGGTAGGGGTGGGGAGGATGCTGGGGGGAGGATGCTGGGGGAGGATGCTGGGGGGGGTTTGGGGAGGGAGTGGGGATGGGATGGGATGGAGGATGCTGGGGGAGGAGGTGGGTGGGGAGGTGGGTGGGGGAGGGTGGGTGGGGGAAGGGGGGGGTGGGGAGGTGGGATAGAATGGAGGATACGTGGGGGAGGATACTGGGGGTGAAGGGATAAAAGGGGGGGGATGGCGGAGGTGGAAGGGATGAGATGGGATGGAGGTGGAGGGAGGATGCTGGGGGTGAAGGGATAAAAGGGAGGTAAAGGGATGGGATGGGATGGGATGGGATGAAAGATGGTGGGGGAGGTAAGGGAGGTGGAGGAGGTGGAGGAGGTGGAGGGATGGGATGGGATGAAGGATGGTGGGGGAGGAGGGATGGAGGATGGTGATGGGGTTGGTGAAAGGATGGGATGGGATGGGATGGAATGGGATGGGATGGAATGGGGGAGGCTGGGGGTGAAGGGATGGAGAATGGTGGGGGAGGATGGCGGGGGGGGGGGGAGGGGGAGTGGGGGAGGGTTTGGTGATGGGGGCTTTTTTATATCAGGTATTGGTATCTTTAGGTCAGTTACCGTTGAAAGTAGGATACCAGACATGTTAGGAATTGATTAAAAAGACTGAAAGACTGATTGTTGATTCGTGGCATGTACGGATATTTATGTACGTAAAACAGGTGGCTGGAGAAAATAAAAAGCACCGCAACACCATTGTACCAACGCCATTAGGAATCGAACCTAATACGAACTAAATATCCCCAACAACAGCTGGTGGCTAGTGGCCGGTAATTACCAGCCGTGGTAATACGCGACATGTATGCGATAGCCGAAGGGGCTGGTATTGTAACAGTTACCTGGAATAAGATGACGTTAGTGTAGAGTGCGCATACCACCGTTTCGAAGAAGAAGAAGGGGGGAAGAAGAAATTCTACTGCTGGGCTTGCATCCATGTCGGAAACCCATCGATGGTTTTTTCCAGGTGAGTTTCGGTGTCGATGGTCTTTTTTTTGTTTTTGCTTGTTTTTCAGGAGTCTTGTGAAGATTTTTTATCATCAGGTGGTAGTGTAGTGTAGGAAGTTTGCGGGTGTGACAGAAGCGGGGGGTTTTTGGGGGAATCGGGCTTTTCGATGTCGATGGGTATGGATATTGTTCTGAGCAGGGGTGGGTGAGTGAGTGAGTGAGTGAGTGTGGGATGGGCGTTTGCTGAGTAGTACGGTTTCCGGGAATGGATTCAGACGAACCTCAAAGGGGGCGAAGGATAGGCCGGCTCGGAGCGCGGTGTGGGAGAACGCGGAGGCGCGCATGCTGGGGAAGCCGGTGGTGCATGAGAGGTATTCCTTGCAGAGTTTCTCGACCGGGGGTCTGGCAGGCGGTCATGGGCTGAGATGAGGCGTTTGGTTTGGAAGTTGGAAACGCTGGGGTTTGCACGCATGCGTCCATGTATTATTTACTTAGTCGATGGTTCTTGAGTGAGCCAGGGCGGGCTCGGGGGTTTCTTTCGAGCACAGCGGTGCATGCTGTCGACGTCATCCCGGTTTGGGAGGGTTGCCGGGAAGGGAGAGCGAGCTTGACGTCCTGAATGTCGAATCATCATCGGGCTTGTGTGTATCAGCTGTAGGTTTTGCGTACAACTTCTCTCCACACATCCTCGCTCGCCGATGCTCCTCGGTTCTGGGAATTCTCCTACCGTCTATGCATCCTTTCCGGCCGATTCTTCACCATCATCCCCGACGCGTGATCGAAGGGTGGGTTGGGTGAGCAGCAGCAGCAGCAGCAGCAGCAACGTCTCACCCAGAATTCCATGTACTGGTACCTACCTCCGTGAGAGAATGATACTTTCTTCAAAATGGGACGTGTATGAATGGGGACTCCGTTACCGTTCTTGTTTTCAACACTGAGCTTAGGTGCAGCTGGTTGTCGTTCGGCTATTTTGTTTGGAAAAAAAAAAAAAAAAAAAAACTCCTCAAAAAAAAAAAAAAAAAAAAAAAAAAAAAAAATTAATGAGCGGAACTCCCGACTGCGTAAAAGTCATGCTGATCGATGGCATTCGATGCTGTCAATAAACTAAATGTGGTATGTTAACATATACAGATAATTCAAGATGTCGAGTGGAGAAGACGAGGAAGACGGACTGTCGTTGGAAGGACTGTTGCCAAGACCGCCAAGACCGCGCCGAAAAATGTTTCTCGAGAAATTGGCCATTGGTCGAAGAAAGTCAACGGGCCAAGAATTCTTGCACAGTAAACATCTACCAAGCGGGAGCCCAGTAGTCGCAGATCCAGAGCCGCAAGTCAGAAGAGTAACGAGGTCCCACAGCAATGCTAATGTCCACGGTTTCAAAGCCCAGTGGGGTGATGCCCTCGTCTCTCAGTAAGTATAGAATGACATGAAAACCACTCCGGACCTTGCCCTAATCTTGCCTCCAGAGAGCCTATACAAACCTCCTTGAGTCAATTACGTCAGACTGTTGAAGTGTACGAGAAGCAGGCGAGCAACGAGAAATGGGAACTCTGGCGAGTTCGAGCAGATGTCACAGAACTCGATACTTTGGCAAGAGCAGCTCTGGACAAGCAGAAGTCTCGAAAGACACCTTTCAAGGGACTGGAAAGGTTCTCTACGGTAGCTTTGGAATATTCAAAACTACTAGATGTGGTTATGAACCAGTGTCCGGAATACGTGGCTCTGGCTTGGGGCGTCACGAAGCTTCTCCTAGTCGCAAACATCAATCACTCAAGGCTCAAACAAAATGTCGAATCACACTTGCTATCTATTGGAGAGCAGCTCGGGTTGGTAAATCAATTGATTTCATACTCGCCGACGGACAAAATGGTAGAGTATGAAGTCACAGAATGTTGCTGGCTCCAAGTGCTAATATTCGCTCCTCAGGGCTCTGGCTGCGCTATATGCGAGCTTCTCCAAATTTCTGGGCAAGGCTCTTCGATGCTATGCCAAAAGTAAACTCGCCAGCGTGATTGAAGCCTTCGCGTTTCCTTGGGAAGCAAAATTCCAGAAAGTGGTTTCTCAGATAGACACACAAATCCGAAGGATTCAAGGAAATTGCCAGCGCCAGCCATTTTCATGCAACTCTTCGCAATCAAAGTCTTCTTCAATCTCTATGGGAACGTCAGCGAGAGGAGAGGGAATCGCCACAGCGAGAGTCAGGATCCGAGCAACTTCGAATGAAGATCAGGGAAGAAATAAAGAGGAAAATAGACGGCCTGCTCCAGGATTTTGACACCAGGTGGGTGCAAAGACTCGATGAGTTGCTTTTGCAGCAGACTGCACTATTTGATGGGAGGAACGACACCGGCAGACCAGATCTAAATGACTCAAACGCACAACTTGCTCTGCCAGTCTTCACACCGCAAGTCTATTTAGCAGACTTCGTCTCAGATCCGCAGACTCTGCTCGAATTCCGGAATGAGGCTTTCCCACAGCTTCAGCGATTTGATCAGCGAGAAAGTTATATTAGAGCAGGCAGCCGTCTTCTGACCGCCTATGACTGGCAGCACTGCGTGGCTTTGCTGAGACATCCTAGTATGAGAAGCTGGATGTCGACTGAGAAGTCCGGAATCCTATGGGTAGACACCTACCAAAGCCACAAGCTAGACTGGGCTTCTGTCTTTTCCACACGCCTAGCAGATGATTGCGCACGACTTGATTACTCCATGGCATTAGCACATTTTTGCCAAGGACACTCCACAGGAAATGCGATTACCACAGCCGCTATCCTGATTCAGTCTTTGATCTCCAAATCTATCTCACTCCATCGTGAGCAATTCACAGTTCGGACGGTTGAACTGACTCAACAGCATTTTCAAGATGCGCAAAACGATGTAGAAGAACTCTGGGCGTTGTTTCTAGAAATCCTCGAGGTAGCAGCAAAAGGGAAGTGTGTATGGATCGTTGTCGATCACGTCGATATCCTACAGCAGGAGACGAATCTGAAGGGGCTGGAAAACGCACTTGCGCTCCTCAGAAATCTCAACGCATTGGCCGATGACCCTGCTATAACAGTCAAAATTCTTATCACCGCCAGGATACGGGATGCTGCACGTCTATCAACAAAGATTGCAGAAGCAAGGATCTTGGCTAGTCGCCATGCTATCATAACCGTTCCTAGGGGCCATCATCGGAATGAAGCTACACTTTTAGCAAAGTCGTCGAAGAAAATCTCACGGCTACCGGAGCCAAACGTGTCTCTAGAACTTCCTACGAGCCTCGTGTCTGTCGAATCTCTCCTCGCTGACACTGATTCTGAAAGCGATTGTTTGGAGGAAAGAACAGCCAAAACAAGGCATACAGCTAAGAGGAAGCCGGAAACGGCGACTGCGCCAAAGGAGGTTGATGATGATACTGGGGAGTCGGATTCTGCCTCGTTATTCGACCCCTTCGCAAGCTCCGACGACAGTGAACCAACATCTAGAAGCAAAAAGGCGGCTCAGCATTCTTGTTCTAGTGAAGACAGCGCTGATGAATACTTCTCTCAAACGAGGCCCTTTGGCGATTTTGCTAAGGAGATAGGATGGGAATCCACAGACGATGAGGATCATTTGAGAAAGCAAGCTATATCTCCTCTTACACCAAAGATCGTGGTCGCATTCTCGGAGCATTCACCACGCAGCGGGGCCTCCAGGTCAGGATCCGACAAGGATGGTGTTAACGCCGGTGCCAACGAAATGAAAGCACAACCCGACCTGTCAACACCTAAGGCAGCAGATTCTGGAAGCATGTCCCAAATCCATAACAGTCTTCCCAATGACAGTGACAGCGATGGCGCTTTCGTCTAGCGGGTTTCCATGCTGTCGTTGTTGAGCCTTGTGAGGCATCGAGGCACAATTTGGCGTCGTGGGTAGCAGGTCTGGCAAATCAAGCATTTCTGCTCCTCATATTGCGCACCGGTGCGTTCCCGGCCCTTGTTCTCCTGCCTCTGGACAAGGGCTTGCATAGCGGTCTATCTCATGGCCCTCCGTCCTTCGGCAAACTCTCAAGGATCGAGTAACGTGAACATAAAATTGCTCGGATTGTCTTCTGAATGCTATTTTCCGCTTGACAGTCCAATAGATTCTTGCTTCACGTCACGGCCTAGCAATGCTACTACGGCTTGAGGCCCAATAAACATCCTCCGCTCTTCTCTTGATAACCTGTCATCCTCGTTAGCATGGCTTTTGTCCTATCTCTTCATGCTTCCCAAGCGTTTGATACGCACTCTGCCCTGCATTGTTCCGAAAGAAAAAGCAAGTATGTTTGCTAATTTCCTGATAAAATTGGGGTCCTCCAGATGCGACAACTTCTGGATCAAAGCAGAACGACTCTGCAATAACATTCTCGTCTGTCACATTGACATCCCAAATGCGAGCTTCAGAGACAAATGTGTAGTTCCGCATCTTTAAGCTGCTCCTCAAATTTCTTTGGGGTGTCATGCAATATGACAGCGCGGAGAGAGCTGAGAACTCATACCCTTTTGCGCCCACTTCATCTTGTTTCCCCTGACACGGAATGTTTTGCTGATGAGCTCAGGCTTGGAACTTTGTGTCAGATCAGGCAGTGACCCGTGGCTGAGCATGCGGCTGTGGTGGCTTCGCTGCCCTGACAGCTGAATTAACCGCCTTGCCAGTTTCGGCTAGTTTGTGATTTCATGTATTAGCCTATGGGAATGGAGCATGCTCCAAAGTAACCAATGCGTGTTATGCATGCTCACCCCATCCATCCCACATCGATCCCACATCCAAAGGGTCTGTGAATTGCCCTTGTTATTCATGATGCAGAGCTCCACCATCACTGTCAAGTCGGCAAGTTCTTGCGAAACTCGAGTTTGCATGTCTCGATCTCAGCTTTCAGCTCACGTCTTACTGCAAGCCCCAGTCGAGGGCAAACGAAATGTACGGCTACGTTCCGTCACTCGACGAAGTACGCCAAAGCGTTCTGACCAGAATCATCATCCATTGTGTCAGCGGGATATGATCTCAATAGTTGCCAAGCTGTTTCCGGCTTACCGACCGTCCCGAAACCTCCCTCCGCTGTCAACCGCTGTCAACCTCGAGCATCCGGCTGCCGATTCAAGTTCTGCACTTCTGGCCACTTGTAACCCCCACACCCACACCCTATGGCTCAATCAGCTCCTTTCCGGACTCGAGGCTGTTTTCCTTCAGTTCGGATAAAGACGAAGCAAATTTGATTTTCGGATCTACATTGCTGGTTGGCTTTCTCGTTACGACGCACCTTGTCTTAACACTTTTCAATCCCTGCGTCTCATAACAAGCGGAAGTGCGACTCTGGACCTTCGAGGAAATCACGAGGCCAAGAGGGAATCCCGGAGGTACGTAGAGAGTCTGGGCTTGCAGTAACTCCTGATTTTGGATCAAGGATCGGTTACCTGAGATGACGGCGGTCCCTTGATGGATCATCCAGCCCCATTTTCAATTTCTGGCATGGGTCAGAACTACCCGAAAAGGTCCTGCCTCCAAAGCCACGACCGAATGATCTACCAGTAACATTATGCTCTCCACGACCCGATTCTTGGACCCCATTGGCGAAGTCGTTAATTAATGAAGCAGTCACATCTCGTCCATCAGATGGGCCTCTTCGCCCTCGCGTTTGCATATGCAGGTCGTCACATCATACGTCAATTCAGATGTGCTCTTTCGAGTCTACTAGAAGGCCCCTGGAAGGCGCCTCCAAGAAAGGCCCATGTAACATAGATTCAATCAGCATTGGGCTCATTGTTATATGCTATATTCTTGAATTTCTCTGTCAGGGGTCAATACGTTAAGGGGTCTTGTTTGAGCTCGTTGACAATACTGTAGATTAAACTGCTAAGGCATCGATCAGGTGTTTCGTGACTAAGGGCCGGCAGCAGTCCCGCCCCCCCAACCCCTTCTATTTTGGATCATCCCAGTAGGAGAGCTTTCTGCTTACGGCAACCGTCGATTCGAGATGGCTGCCTGAGTCGGAGGAATTATTGAGCCAATTTACTTGGTTCGTTAGGACCCTCGGTTTCCATCCAATCCTTGTTGCATGAATTAACGGACGCGCCAATTCACGTCTGCAATTTGACACAACCTTTCAATGTCGGCTAGGGGCACCTGCCATTCCCGGTTGATAAATGTGCACGAGACGACCACCATTCTGTCCCAGAATATACTAACTTCCCGAAAAAGGAGGAACAATGTTGATCGCTGAAGCCGCCCCGAAATCTAGACTGAAGTATATTGATCGATGGCTGGCTCTTCTAGGCTGAAGCGCTCGATTTTGAAGGATTACGGCTTTCCCCTTTCCAAGATGGCTACCACCCTTTCCAGAAACAGTAGTTAATCTGTTTTTGATGGAAATCTGGACCATTTGGAGCACCTCCTTTGCGATATTGGTCGTGTTCAGTTCGTGTCCACCACAAGCATGTGCGCGTGTGATGGAAGAGCGAGGTCCCAGGCCTCCGGAATATAAATACGGCATCAATCCCCCCTCTTGGCCATTTTCAAGCCAAAATCTCGAGAACATCGTCTCTACATCTTCCATCGCTGCTCTTTTGAACTTAACTTTGAACAGGACTCCTACAACCCTTAGAACAATTTCCATTGTTCGAAATGGCCGTCATCAAGACCACCGTTGCAAAGTCACAAGACATCAAAGATGCGGCGCTCAACCTCAACATCAAGGCATATGAGGTGCGCCGAACTTTGGCCGCCGTGTGGGATGTCGAGCCTACTCGCGCGCAACCACCGCCACCCGAGGCTGCCTTCTCCCTCGACATGAAAAATGAAAGCTCTGAAAGCGTCATCGGAGACGGAGACGAGCGTGTCTTGGTCGACAAAATGCACTTTGCACCTGGTGGGAAATACCGATGTAACTCAATCACCATTGCTTTTATTCAGTACACATCGCTCACATAGTTATGCAGCGATTGTAAAGCTCTTCATTCACTACGAGTTCCAAAAGCCTGGTAGCTGGGCCATGGGTACCGGCTGGCTCATCAAGCCTGACATCCTTGTCACTGCTGGACACTGCAGCTACGACTGGAGCCACAAGCTCGGCCGTGCTACGGAAGTGAAAGCCTACATTGGATACGATGGGCACCAGGCGGAGAAGGACCCAAACGTTCAGTTCAGGCATGTCAAGAGAATCGTCACAACCGAAGGCTGGGTCACAACTAAAGGTCAAAAATCCTTTGATGTAAGCTTCATGCAAGTCGACAAACCCTTCACTGGAATTACTCCCCTACGATTTGAGGAGACACCTTCTCAAGGGAACATAGTCCTCGGTGTTGTTGGCTATCCAGGTGACTTGACCGACAAGCAGACTTGCGAGAAAGGAGCTCATATGTACGAAATGTTCCTTCCGACAAAGTTTGACCTCTCCACACAAGCCGACACTATGTTGGAGTATCAGATTGATACTTTTGGTGGTGAGTCTTGTGTATAGTGACACATATTTACGTGGAGACATCTAACACCCGTCGACCAGGTAATTCTGGATCTCCAGTCCTCAGACAACACGACCTGGTCTCCATTGGAGCTCACGTGTACGGAGGTTCATTCAACTCTGCTTCGGTCATTGGGAAATACGGCAATCCTTACGGAGACTATATCGCTGCTTTCGGATTACCCTTGCCAAATGCTGCCTTGAATCTCATTCCCGTCACAGGAAATACAGCTATATCCGCTCCTGTGCCGTCGGGATATGGCTCAAGCATTCCGGGTAGCATGGCTGCGACTGGCCCTGCGATCTGCGATTTTTGCAAGTCCCGCAACGTTGAAACTCCTCATGCTTCCCAAGCGCAGCACGCCTCCCAAGCAGCGGAGGGGGCCCAAACACCGAAGGCCCCCAAAACACCGGAGGCCTCTAAACCACCGGAGGCCCCCCAAACACAACCCCGCTCTCAATATCAGCGACCTACATCTACCATGACGAAGCTCATCCAGAATGGCGGAGTTGCTCAAGGCCGAACTCTAATTGCCAAAAGCCAGCTAACTGAGGCAGACGAGGAAAGTTTCATGACCGTGCTGAGGACTGTAGCATCTGCGCTTCCTACTGGATTGGGTCTCATTGGCGGAGGCCCTATCGGTGCGCTGGCGGGATTCGCTTTGAATGCCGCTAGTAAATTCATGACCGAGACGACGGGCGCTGAGAGCGCCATGGACGCACAAGACATGCATGAAGGTTCCATGGAAAGAGCAATCCTGGCTGAGGCAACGCTCAGCGCTCTTCAATCAGCAGAAATGCATCCCGATCTGGAGGAGAGTATCTTCAACGACATGAAGGATACAGTCATGAAAGCGCTACCTGTCATCCGCAAGGCGGCTCCTCATGTGATGGGTGCTATGATGGAACCTGCTCTGAGAATTGCACTTGACTCACTCCACAATTACAACCAGAAGGTAGCATCCGGCGCAGAAAGTGCTGAAACCACCTGGTCAGAACATTTCCGTCCGACTGTTCTCTACAGTTCCGCCATCGACCAGCCAGCTGATCATAAGGCCGAGGCCTTTCTAGGTCATCTTCAAGCGTCTATGCAGCAGAACCTTCAGGAATCTGCCATGGACGATGGCTCAGAAGAAAGTCTCCAGGATATCATCAAAGCAGGTAGTCGTTTGGCCAGTAAAGGCGCGTCCGCTGCGGCCAAGTACGGTCTTCCCATCCTACTTGACATACTGAAACAATCCGGTGGCGCCGAAGCCTTTGAAGATGAACCTAGCTCTGGCCCAGCCGCTCACCTTCTCGCTGCTGATCCTCTTGCCCAGCGTGCACTTGTCGCAGACGCTGCCCTTACAGCAGTGATGAAGTTCCCACCCCAGCAGTTGCAAGAGGAAGGCTTCTTTGACTTCATCACCGAGGCCATCAAGGTCATTGCGCCTATCGCAATGAAATTTGCCCCCGTCGTCGCGGGAGCGATTAATCCAACCCTTGGCAAAGTTGTTTCCACTGTCCTCAAACAAGAATCTACTTTCGCTGGCGAATCTGCCAACCCCGAGTCTACCACCCGCGGAACTACTAGACCCAGACTTGCCGTCACTCCTGGCCTCTCTGCAAAACGCAGTCTTTATTCCCTTCGCAATGGTAGCGCCCATGGTAACGAAAGGCGCAACCGCTCCGAGCACCCAGGAACCAACGGGTCTAAACGTGGACCATATTCTCGACTCGGCAGCCAGCTGGTCTACTGAGGAATACCGTGGGCTTGCGCTCTGATTGCCTTGGGGAGCAGGTCTTCGAACTCTTGCGAACTCCCGAACCCGTAGCCATGTGTTTGCAAATCAAGGGCAGCTTGGAAACCGTTGGAATCAGTGGTGGAAACGGACTGCTCTCTCGTTATCATTGGTTGTTTGAAGCACTTAACTGCCCCTTAGTACTCCTTGCTTTTGTCTTACTACATCATGCTTTCATCCTAATATTCCTGGCTTTTGTCTTACTACTTCTTGCTTTTGCCTTAACACTCTTGGCGTTTCTGACGTCGCAACTGCTGATTTTGAATTTAATCTGCTTTACCAAAGTCACTCGTTCGAGCACTGATAATACTCAGTTAACCTTCTATCAGAGCGGAAGTAATTGCCCTCCAACCACCTTTTTTCCAATACAACTAAAGAGATAGTGTTTTTGTATATCTACAACATTACAGCCTGGAGCAATTGAACACATTTTTTGCTCTCAATCTGACCAGTTCTGATCGTTTCGTAGTTCCCATTTGACTCCCACGCGACAGCACGCCCTGGATGGGTCATTCAGGGTACAAATAAGCATAGGTTCTACCTGTTAGCGATCAAGGTCACCACATGAAGCAGATGCTACGCTGGAGAGCTTCGCGAAAGGGTCCCATGCTCGTCTCTCTACTGCCGGGGTTAGTCTTAGGCCTAGAATGCGGACACCGTGACCGCCGAAACCCTTGGGTTTCACCATGTACGGAGCCACAAGTCAGCGCTTCTCTAAGGAATAAACTGTGACATTTCCCAGCTGGTTGATTCCTATCACCTGTTTGAATAAAGTTTCTCGGATTTTGTGTTCAATATGGTATCTACTACGCAGTAAGGAATTGATATTTGAAAAAGAGCTGATCAGTCGAACTCCCTCAAAACCCCCTCCTTTCTTTCTCATATCCTCCCCCTCTGGACATACGACTTGTCAAGGCCTATGGGGATCTGCAATGGCTAAGTCATAGTTCGTCACTGAACCATTGACGCTACATCGCTTTGCTTCCATCAACCTTTGCCACTCGATCCGTCGAACTGCCTCGTCGCCCTCTGAACGGGCATGCAGATTGAGATGGTCGAGCATTTCCGTAGCCTCGACGCGATCCGGGTGCTCTTGGCCCAAAGTTTCCACTTTGCCGTCGAGGACTACGGTGAGGAAATATACTAGGTTCCCATAATGTGCTGGATAAAGCAGCGTTATGCTCTTTGGGGTAAACGGTCGACGCTTTGGAAGATACCATCGCTACGGTAAGGAAAGTTGCGAGGTTAGCTCTGGAAGCAGTGACTCAACGATGATGGGGGCCGCGACCTCCAAAAGCGAAGGGATCGTCAAGCATCCACTACGGTACGTACCGAAACGGGATATCAAACACCACTGGTGAAATAGACAGTAACGCTTGCGTTGTTTCATCTTGACTATCCATTCAATTGTCACTGCAGTGACTCATGAAAGACTGCAACTCGATGATGGTGGGTGAGAAAAGGGGGTGAAATCCAAGCAGCGAAGGAGTTGTCGCAGGCCTGCTGTCAGAAATTTGGGCTGCCAGCCAATAGGGTCGCCGTGTGTTACGAGTCACCCTACATATCACTCCACATTGCATTGCCCCCTGAATTCTGGGGGGTAACTGATTGGTACGCTCTGCATCTTCCGAAATCTTCTTCTACGCTAGCATTCGCCTTGTGGCATTAGCTATGGTCCTTTTTGGTGTGAAATCACTTATACAGAGCATCATTGCAGCACTGATTGCGTGCCGTGATTGAACAGCCGATGGATCAGATATAGTAGCAGTGAATGCGGAAAGACCAGCATATGTCATTTTTCAAACAGAGATGGCGCGGGAGATGGTGTCGGGCTTTCAGCATTTGTTGGCAGAGGAGCGGTATAGACCACTTCACCGAACGAGATGACGCGGACAACGGTATCAGGAGTGTCAGGACCTGTTAGCAAAAGAATTTGATGGGTCCCTGTCGCGGAAGACACCTAACGAATGCCGGCATATACCGGTGCATGCACGGCTTTTGGTGGACGAAGCCTTACGATGCTGGTGCACGTATAAAAAGGAGCTCCATGCCAATGCTCATCAGTTCCTCTATCATCACAAGAAACCACGCCATCGAACAGTCGTCTCAAAACAACCAATAGCAACTACCTCCAACCGATCAACCGACACAAAACTGATAAAATCTCCTTGCACCTTTCATCATGCACCTTTTCAACATTTCGCAAGCGGCCACCCTTTTGGTTGCTTTCCGTGAGGGTTTTCTTGGTTTGGGGTATTGGTGCATTGGGATTCCCATCCGAGTTGTTGAAAGCAGTACTCCGATCGCACCCATCAAGTCTATGTATGTATGACCTGTACTTCAGATAAAGAGATTTCCCTTTTTTCATCTTCGTTCTCTGAGCTGCGCAAACTGAGAGACGCCTGAAGAGCCCCATTCGCTCCTTGTTCGGAAAAGAGAATCCTTCGCGGCCGAGTTGATTCAGGCGTGGGCTGGTGTTTCGGAATTATTGCACTGCGCACAGCTGTTGCAAAAAAAAAAAATTGAAAATCCAAGTCGTATTACGGCAGAGTGAGCACGGTACCTCTGCACTTGAGGATTCCCCTCACTAACATGCTTACGAAAATCATCAACCCTTGAATTAGAGAGTTCGCCTCAACGCCGATTCTGCTTGCTGAAAGACCGAAACGGTGGCAACATTGGCCCGAGCTACATTTCTTCCGAAACCAGTTGTTGGTTTCCGGATAAGGAAGGCAGAGGGAATCATGTTCACACACTTACGCATCCGACTGAAGTGAATCGAAGTTAGCGTTTGGTTTATCTTCCATTGTCAGAGCTGTCAGATGCAATGAGCTGATTCCTGAGGTTTTATCAATGTCTGATTCTGTCATTTATCTTTCGTATCGAGATTTGTTGAAGGATATTCGATAATTGATACAGATGCTCGAGCTAGAACTATTCACGTAATGAATCACAAAAGGCGGTCCGTAGAACACACCTCTCTAAGTAGTAGCTTGATCCGAGCGCAATTGCGATGTCAAGCTTGGCCATCCTTTTTGCAAGGCGTGATTGGCCCGTGAAGATCAATCTGGCTTGCTACGGCGGACGAGGGCTGACACTACGACAAAACCAAAACCACAATTGAAAAAAGTTTTAGGACTTCGTTTCGCGATTCCTACTTGACTTTCGTACGAAGCATATATATTATTCCTTCAACTATTGTAGAATTATTATAGGGAGTTATTATTAAGGCTCTAGAAATATATTACATAGTCTCTAAGCTTAATTAAACTAGTTTAGATATCAGCTCATAAAGATTATATAAAGTTCTCTTTCAAATAAATTCTTCTTCTTTAATAATAATATTAATATTATATATATATACTACTATAGTATCTTTTTTCTATACTACTTTATACGAAGTAACTTCTAACTAACTTCGTACGTTAATACTATTATTACTATTACTATTACTATTATTACTATTATTAATATAAATATAATACTATAATCTTCCTTAATATTTTAATATCTTTATTTTCTATAGTCTTTCTTAATCTCTCTACTTTATATAAAGTTACTTATATATAATAGCTAGCTAACTTCGTATCTTAATATTACTACTACTACTATTATTATTACTACTAATAATATAAATAATATCTTAATATCTTCGCTTTTTATAGTCTTTTCTAATCTCTCTACTTTATATAAAGTTATTTATATATAATAGCTAGCTAATATTATATAATAAAGCTCTTATCTTATAAAATATCGTTATTATTATTATTATTCTTATCGCCATTCTAGCTAACTAATACTCTTATCTTCTTATAAAATAATAATAGCTTATATCCTTCGTCTATAGTCTAATTAATTATACTATTCTAATCTTACTAGAATAGAATATTAATTTTATTTAAGAGGTAATTTAGCTTTTATTAAATTAGATAGTATTAATTAAGATATATTAATACTATTCTAATCTAATTACGCGAACTTATTACCCTTATAACTTATCTATAATATTTATAAACTTTATATTTTAATTTTTTATCTCTTTCTTATATATTATCGCTTAGCGAGATATTTTAAAAGAATATATATTAATTATAAATAGCGAGATTACGAAGCTTAGTACTTCTTTATATAAAGAAAGTTATTTAAAAATAATAAAGATAAAGACGAAGGGAAGCGTAAGCGCTATTTTTATTTACTTAAGAGAGATAATAGCCCTTTAAATTAAAAAGTAGATTATTAATTCTTAATTAGAGAAGAGAGAGTTATTAAGAGAGATTAATAATTTTATTACTATCTAAATATATATTAAGTTTCTTTTTATATAATATTTATAAATCTTTTTTTATATAGTTTACTTTAAAGTATAGTTATATATTTAAATAATTAGTCTATACCTCTATATAATATTTAAAACTAATATCTTATTAAAGAAAAGCTAAAATAGATTACTCTTCTATATTATATAAAATATCTCTCTTTATATAATATAAATAGAATAAAATTCAAGTATATTATCTTTAAAAGAATATCTATATAAAGTTATTTAGACTTTTATAATTATTAATTATTAAATTTAATATAATTACTAAGACTACTATAGCCACTTAGCTATTATTATTATAATTACTTATAATTATTTTATATAAAAAAGTTATTATAATTATTTAGCTATAATAATAATTAATTATTCTAGATAAATTATTTATAAAAGATATTAAGATCTAAATATATTAAAGTTTCTTATTAAAAGATACTCTAGATTAATCTATTTCTTTTATATAAAGATTTATTTATTAATAGTTAATATTATATAATATATAGATAAATCGTATTTAACTTACTTCTACCGTCGCCGCTACTACTTCTACTTTCCTTCTATCTTCTTTATTTCTTTATTCTTATTATCTAAAAGTCTCTCTAACTCTTTAATCTAATTTCTTATATAACTAGATAGAGAT